TAGTCAAAACACTATAGGAGTTTGGAAAGAGACATCACATCTCCGTGGGATAATTCATTTATTCAGCAAACATTATTTATAATTGTGTGAATTGTTTTTAATTAAAAAAATTTTTAAATGTTTATTTCTGAGAGAGAGAGAGAGACAGAGCGTGAGCATGGGAGGGGCAGAGAGAGAGGGAAACACAAAATCCAAAGCAGGCTGAGCTGTCAGCACAGAGCCCGATGTAGGGCTCGAACTCATGAATCCTGAGATCATGACCGGAGCCAAAGTCAGAGACTTAATCAACTGAGCCACCCAGGCACCCCGTGTGAATTGTTTGGCTATAACAAACAGCATATGAAAATGCTTATGTAAAATACATTTTAAAAGTAGATTTTAATATAGTTATGAGTACAATATTATATACAATGTTAAAAAAAAATCCATTAAAAAAAAGGCCAGGGGGGAAAAACACCAAAATAGTAACAGGTAGATCTATCAGGCCAATTTCAGAAGGCTGGGAGGGAGGAATGTAGATGAATTTAGAAATATATTCTTTAAATAAGATATAGTGGCATTGTTTCTAAGTTTTAAAAACAGCTGTTCTAGGTCCTCCTCTGGATGATAGAGACAGCAATGAAATAGAAATAACAATAGGAAAGGTAATAGCTACCAGCATTTATTGGTACATAATTGTCTCCTCTTTGGGGAGGGGAACTAGTTGGTAGAGGGCAAGTGTTGGAAGAAGACTGTTATGTAACAGCTTTTGATTTTGGCTCAGGTCATGATCTCACAGTTCGGTTTGGAAGATCAAGCCCCGCATCAGGCTCTGAGCTGACAGCAGGAACCTGCTTAGGATTCTCTCTTTCTCCTCTCTGTCTGCCTCTCCCCCTGCCTGTGCTCTCCATTAAATAATGTTTAAATAAATAAATATTTAATAATCATATATTGAGAGTTTACTTATGCTCTGTAATTGCTTCACAGCATCCCATTTAAGGGGCTGCTATTATTTAACCAGTTCCTATACTAATTCTTTGTTATTATATAAGTGCCGCAGTGAAAAACTTTGTATCTATGTCACTTTGTACTTCTACACAATATCTGTAGGTTAGGTTCCTAAAAGAATTGCTGGGTCAGTGTATTTACATTTGTAATTTTGATGAATATAGATCAGTGAACTAAAATCATAATCACCTGAGGAACTTTGTCTGTGTTGTTATGTATGTCCCCTTCAGTGCCTGGGAGGTTTTTTTCTTTTTGGTTTTTTAAATTTTCTATGTGTCTGGGATGGAGTTTGGGTATTCTTATACTTTTAAGCTCCTAGGGTGATTCTGATGTTTATCCCAGAAGGAGGAGGAGGTTGGATCTCTATGAAATGGAATGTGGTACAGAAAAGCATATCTAATTTTATTTTATTATTTATTTATTTATTTTTTTACATATTGTTTATGGCTGCTTTTATTTTTCTTTATTTATTTTTTTATTGCATATCTAATTTTAAAAGAAAAAAGCAGCTCTTTCTGCCCATGGGTCCTATCCCTATCCTTTAATGAAAACACCTTTTTGCTTCAAAAAGAGAGAACACACACACAAAAAAATAAAAGAATGTAGGCTAACTGTAGGGCTCAGAAAGGCAGCATGCTGCCAGTTAATGCAGAAGCATGCCAGTGGCTGCTTTAATCTGCATGTCCAGATTACTGCTATTTCCAGCATCTTCCCCTCCCATGATATTATGGGATATCAAAGCATTGTAAGATGAATATATTAGTATTTCAGGTATGGATTAAGGGATACCCAAAGGGTCATGGTTATCAGAGTTTAGTATGTCACCAAGAGATTGAGTGTGTGAAATACAGGATTTTGTGCAGCCTGTAGAAATTGAAAAGACTGGATAGCACTTAATCTGTTGCTCTGGGTTAGGCTGAGCCAAGTAGGAAATATAACTGCTTAGAATTAACTTCTAACAAACCAAAACATTGAAGGCTTATTCTGTTCTAGCTTCTGTGCTAAGTGAAGATAGTAATATAGAAATAAATCAGAGTAGTAATAACTACCAACACTTATTGGACACTGAGTATGTACTAGGCATTATGCTGAGAATTTTACAAGTATTTTCTCATTTATTTATTTATTTGAGAGTGTGTGCTCACGTGTGAGCAGGGGACAGGAGCAGGTGGCGGAGAGAGAGAGATAATTTTAAGCAGGCTTCATACTCAGCAAAGAGCTTGATGTGGGGCTTGATCCTTCGACCCTTGGATCATGACCTGAACAGAAATCAAGAGTTGGCCACTAAACTGACTGAACCATAGGTGCCCCAAGTATTTCCTCATTGAATCCTAATCCTAGGAACTGTGGGGGCTATTACATTCCCATTTAACAGTTGAGATGGGGCACCGAGTGGCTCAGTCAGTTAAGTGTTTGACTCTTGATTTCGGCTCAGGTCATCATCTCACGGGTGGTAAGTTCAAGCCCCACATTGGACTCTGCACTGACAGCATGGAGCCAGTTTGGGATTCTCTCTCTGCCCCTCCCCCACTGATGCATGTGCTTCTCTCTCTCTCTCTCTCTCAAATAAACTTGAAAAAAATTAACAGTTGAGAAAAATGAGTTTCACAGATGTTAAATAAGTAACTTGCCAAAGATCACAAATGTGTCTACTTCATAAGACTGTTTGAAGGTTAACATATTTAGAACGTGCCTGGTACATAATAAATGCTCAAAAATATTGCTAGTAGTAGTAGTAGTGGTAAAGTACAGAGGAAATACCAGTTATCCCTTGCCTAGGGCATATATTACAGAAGGAATATATAAATAGAATTTTTCTTTGGAAAGTCAGATATTCCAGCTAGAAAAAACCGTTGTAAAGGGATTGGTAGCCTGATTAGGGTACTGCATAATGTACTTGGTGGTAAAATGGTAGAAGAGGATGAGAAATGAAAGAAGGCATCATGGGAGGGTGGGGCAGAGGGCTAATGAGCTATTTTGAAAGGATGGGCGTAACTCATTTTAGGAGGCAGAGAGGGTTGGGAACGTTTCAAACAAAGATAAAACATGTAAAAAGACATAGAAATTATAGTTATCTACTGCTATGCAGTAAACTACCCCAAAATTAAGTGGTTTAAAAACAATTACTATTTTATTTGCCCACAGTTTTTTGAGTCCTATGTTTGGACGAGGCTTAGGTAGGTAATTCTGGTCTCACTGGGCAGTCACGCATGTGGCTGCAGTCATTTCATGGTGCCACTGGGGCAGAATAGTCTAAGATGGCTATTGGCTGGGCTTCCCATGGCAGCATACCAGTTGTAACACAACAGGGGAAGCTGCATGGGTTCTTGAGGCCTCGGCATGGAAGTCACACAGTGTCACTCCCACCACATTCTGTCAGGTAAAACAAGTCACAAGGCCAGCCTAGATGCAATGGGAGGGAAAAGACACTGCCTCATTTTTGTTTGTTTGTTTGTTTTTTAACATTGATTTAGTTTTGAAAGAGAATGACAGACCACTAGTGAGGGAGGGGCAGAGAGGGAGATACAGAATCTGAAGCAGGCTCCAGGCTCTGAGCTGTTAGCACAGAGCCCAACATGAGGCTCGAACCCATGAACTGTGAGATCATGATCTGAGCCAAAGTTAGACACTTAACTGACTGAACCATCCAGGCACCCCAGACACTGCCTCTTGATGTGAAAAGACCTGCAAAGAATTTGTGGCCTCCCCTGACTCCCCCAAATCTAACACAAATGGAAAAGGTCAGGATGAGTTTAGGATATATTACTAGTTTCTTTGGCCTTTTCCAGAGCCTAAGTAGCATTTCCTCCAAAGTTAATTATACAAGGTACATTAATCACCTTTATTACCTGGCCCTAAGCTCTGTTTCTCTAACAGTGATGTGGAGAATTTCTCAGGGTCCTGATTTTAGTAATATACCAGGATTATGTGGATTATGTGTTATTAACAAACACATTGTTAGTATTTAATTAAATACCTCTGTGTTAAAAATTTTTTAAGTATTTTAATGTTTTATCATATAAAATCTGTTTTTTAAAGTTTCTTTTTTTTTTTAATAATTCCTACACCCAACGTGGGGCATGAATTTACGAGCCTGAGATCATGAGTCACATGCTCTTCCTACTGAGCCAGCCAGGTGTCCCAGCAACCATATAAAATCATTTTTTTAAGCAATGTTGATTTTCTCAATTTTTAAATTATTGTTTTTTAAAGTAATATCTATACACAACATGGGGCTTGAACCCACAACCCTGAGATCGTGAGTCATGTGCTCTACCATCTGAGCCAGCCAGATGCCCCTGTAAGATCTTGACCAATTTTTAAAATCTCAGGTAAATTATTTTATTTGTGTTCTGAACAAGTTAACATCTATAACCACCTACCTTCACTTACCTTTTAAAATGATCTGAGACCCTGAATTAGAATCTGAATTAATGATGTTTTTACCTCTTTATTCAACTAACTTTTACCAGTACTCAGCAGATACAAATGTGATTTCCTCTGAGGTATGTTAGTTTGTAATCCTCTGTGGTTTGCTATTTAATTCTGCTTTCCATTCTGAAGGGCTTCTAGGCCTTTGTTCATTAATCATAGGAAACAGTTGTGCAACATGCTTTGACATTAACTTGAACATCTAAAATTAGTCCTGCTACAATCAGTGGCTGGGAACAACGTTTCAGTAGTTTGTGACATGTGTTAAGTAGACAGACATTGCAAGATTGGAAGGAACTCCTAGAAAAAAAGTAAGTGACTTGTGTGTGTGTGCGTATGGACTTATGTATATATACCATTGAAGTTCCTTTTGATGAACAAATTACATCTCTTACTACAAATGCATCATAAACGTCTTTGCTTGTGCACTATGTTGTTTAATTATTTCAGGAGAAAATTTATATTTATTGAAAGCTTGGTATGTTAGAATGGATTTTTCTGTATGTTTTAGGATTTTCATTTTTGAAGGGAATATTTCAAGTAAATGGCTTTTTTTTTTTTTTCTCTTCAGAAGTTACAGAAACTCATTCACAAAAATGACATCTTGGTTGTATGAATGTCTTTGTGAAGCTGAACTTGCACGGTATTATCCTCATTTTACTGCCCTTGGCCTTCAGAAAATAGATGAGTTGGCCAAGGTTACAATGAAGGACTATTCCAAATTGGGAGTCCATGACATGAACGACCGCAAACGTCTCTTCCAACTTATCAAAATCATTAAGATTATGCAGGAAGAAGATAAAGCAGTCAGTAGCCCAGAGCATCCTCTTGAGACAAACAGCCTGTACATTAAGCCTCAGGAATCCAGATCTGGCCCTCGCAGGCAACTGCATTTTGATTCTCCTGCTGACAACAAAGGCAGAAGTACCAGCAACAATGGGTTTGAAATGTGCAGTTTATCAGATTCTTCTACAAACAAACAGAAGTCTAGTTACCTAAAAGTGCTGGACCACATGCTGCCGGATGATTCCCAGCACCACACAAAAACGAGAATTCAGAACGCCACAGCTGCTGGTTCCTATGTGCAAACAGAAACTAACACTTCACTCTTTTCATCAAATCACTTTTCTCCAATACTGGGGAATTATGATATTCCCATTACTCAAAGAGTCTCTCATGTTTCAGGGTATAACTATGGAATCCCTCAGTCCTGTATCAGGTAATAATTTATCATTTTTTTTGAGGGGTGGGGGAGAGCATAGCCTCAGGCAAGGGCAAGCCTCTCCATGACTGAGAGCAACTGCTCCTTATTTATAGAAAGTTCTAGTGAACAGCTTCTGCAGTAATAATAGAAGTACCTTGATGGGAGGAAGTTCATGAGGAATTAAGACTTTACAGATGGGAGAAAAATGATACTGTCCATGTATGTCAAACAGCTGCTACTTGCCAGGATCTGCCATTATTCCATTAGCAGACCTATTTCTATTATTTATTATAGTGTAGCATGATACATCTAGTGCATCCTTGAAGGTAAAATAGTTAACTAGCATTCTACGATGGAAAAAGTGTGTGTGTGTGTGTGTGTGTGTATTCCACAGGATTTTTTTTTTAAGGCTATCAAATTCACTTTAACCAAGAGACCTAAAGCTTAGTTAAAAATAAATAGCATGTAGTTGGATTAAGTAGATCTCAGGTGCAGTTAGCTCACCTACACACATTGAAATATGGTCCTGATTTTGAGTGCTTTCTTCAGTTCCAACCATGGAAGGATATATGATTTTGGTGATTACAAAAGAGTAAGACACTTTTGATGTAGTTGAGACTCTGAGAGGCAAGGTGGCAATAAGTTATTTTTCACATAGTGATTTAAGTTAAATGTTGAAATAATGTCCCTAAGAGTTAAAATATTGAATAATTCCCAATACCAGCATTGGTATAATAGAACCTGTTCTTTTTTTTTTTTTTTTTTAATGTTTTTAATTTATTTCTGAGAGAGAGAGAGAGTGTGAGCAGGGGAGGGTCAGAGAGAGAGGGAGACACAGAACATGAAGCAAGCTCCAGGCTCTGAGCTAGCTTTCAGCACAGAGCCCGACGTGAGGCTCGAACCCACGAACCGTGAGACCATGACCTGAGTCAAAGTCGGAAGCTTAACCAACTGAGCCACCCAGGCACCCCAAGAACCTGTTCTTTTAAAAATAACATGAATTGGTTGTTTTGTTACTGTAAAAGTTACACATGGTGAGTTATAGAGAAAGAAAATACACTTTTTTAAATGTTTATTTATTTTGAAGAGAGAGTGAGAGTTGGGGAGGAGCAGAGAGACAGGGAGACACAAAATCTAAAGCAGGCTCCGGGCTCTGAGCTGTCAGCACAGAGCCTGACAAAGGGCTCGAACCTGTGAAATGGTGACATCATACACGAGCCAAAGTCAGACGCCCAACTGATTGAGCCACCTAGGCGCCCCAACAAAATTCATTCTTAAGCCACATTTTAAAAAAGTGATTATTCATACCTAAAAAACAAGGTATATATTTACACCTGGCCTTATATTGGCTAAGGTTTCAGAGGATCTCATAATCAACCAGTTCTTCTATTCAGAAAATAGACCCCATTTTACAGGTGAAAGTACTTTTAGTAATTTGAAATACATAGTGAATTTTATAGTGTTTCTGAAAACTTTATTTGGTTTAGTAGCGCACAGAGTAACAGAACTCTTTTTTGTAATTATTTTTAAGGTTTATTTTGAGAGAGAGAACTTGCATGCACATGTGTGTATGCACAAGCAGGGGAGGGACAGAGAGTGAGGGAGAGAGAATCCCAACCAGGCTCCACACTCACCATGGAGCCCGGTGCAGGGCTCTATTTCACAAACTGTGAGATCATTACCTGAGCCGAAACCAAGAGTCCACACTTAACTGATGGAGCCACCCAGGCATTCCTCTTTTCTTTTAATTGTTAGAGAACTAGATTGTTCCATGACTATCAAAGCCAGGATTATTGCTGCCCTATTGGTTAGCTCTGTGGTGAAAGAACAGATATTTTCTTGAATGTTGCAGTCTTTTTTTGAGCATACATAAAGATCTAAACTGGAATTATTTATAAATAAAGATACTGCTTTGCATTATTTGGACAAAATGAATATTTTAGTTTAAATATGCTATTTCATTTATTTGGCACATATTAAGTACCATCTCTTCCAGGCCTGATTCTAGATATGAAGATAATTGGGATATATGGAGGCTGTGAGACTCGTAGGGGTCAGGGTGAGTTGGAAGATAACCATACAGGGAGATAAGTGCTCTTATAGAGGTTTATACATGAAAGACCCAGAGCAAAAGCTATACCATTGAGCTTTCTTTCTTTCTTTGTTTTTTTTAATTTTTGATGTATTGTTTATTTTTGAGAGAGAGAGAGACAGACAGCGTGAGCAGGGTCAGAGAAAGGGAGACACAGACTCCAAAGACAGGCTCTAGGCTCTGAGCTAGCCGTCAGCACAGAGCCTGATGCGGGGCTCGAACCCACGAACCGCGAGATCATGACCTAAGCGAAAGTCGGACGCCCAACCGACTAAGCCACCCAGGCGCCCCAGAGTTTTCTTACTTTTTATATCATTTTATTACTCATCCCACTCTTTATTATATTAGAGAAGTAGAGATTTTAAAAAGTACATTTTCCCCAATAATCTTCATATTGTCTTCTCATCCAAATGTTTCTAAGTGGAGGTCAGGGTTTTAGAACCCTGAGAAACTGTCACAAACTTAAGGCTTGCTGTTAGGATGTCATCTTGTCCAAAGAGCATTCTCTTCAGGTGCGTCAGGTCAAGTAAGCTCAGAATAAATTACTGGTCTCGGATTTTTTTTACGCTTATTTATTTATTTTGAGAGTGAGAGAGAAAAGTGTGCACTTGGAGGAGGGACAGAGAAAGAGAGGGAGAAAGAGAATCCCAAGCAGGCCCTGTACTGTTAGCATAGAGCCTGATGCAGGGATCGAACTCATGAACTGTGAGATCTTGACCTGACCTGATCCAAGATCAAAAGTCGGATGCTAAACCAACTGAGCCACCCAGCTGCCCCTGGTCTCAGAATTTTAATAAAAGTCGAATGCATTTAGAGAACTAGTTGTCCCGACTTATTTAAAATTTTAAATAGACCTAACTCCAGCTACCTGAACTCTTTTCATGTCAGACAGATACAGCTTATTTCTTCTAGGGAACACTGGACATTAAAACCAGAGCCTTTTAGGGGTGCATGGGTGGCTCAGTTGAGCATCCGACTTTGGCTCAGGTCATGATCTCACATTTCATGAGTTCAAGCCCTGCATTGGGCTCTGTGCTGACGGCTCAGAGCCTGGAACCTGCTTTGAATTCTGTGTCTCCCTCTCTCTCTCTCTGCCCCTCCCCTGCTTGAGCTCTGTCTCTCTGTCTCTCTCTCAAAAACAAATAAACATTAAAAAAAAAACAAAAAGCACAGAGCCTTTTAGAAAAGCAGTCATTTGTTCTTGCCCCTTGAACTTGAAAACTACAGTCCTTTTGACCACATGACCCATCTAGAATCCCTAGTCAGTTTTGAAAAAGACATTTTCTGTCCCTCTTGATTAGCTTTCTATGACTTGGCTTTTAATACTCCCCAACAACAGGCCCTTTTGACAGAAAGCCCTTGTTAAAATAATGCACTAAAATTTTTTTCTTGTAAAGAAAAATTGAACGTATGCAGAAGAAGGGAGAACAGAACAATGAATCCCCCATATGCCCATCGTCCACTTTTAATTGTCAGGATTTTGCCACACTTAATCTCAAAATGGCACATTTTTGTTCTATTTTATATTATTTTATTTTATTTTACTTTATTTTAAGTTTGTTTATTTTGAGAGAGCACAAGTGACAGAGGGGCAAAGAAAGAGGGAGAAAGAGAATCCCAAGCAGGCTCAGTGCTGTCAGCTCAGAGCCTGATGCGGGGCTCAAACCCATGAACTGTGAGATCAAGACATGAGCCAAAACCAAGAGTCAGTCACTCAACTGAATGAGCCACTCAGGTGCCCCCAAATGGTACAGTTTTAGAAGTCTGCTCTATGTTGGTTAAAAGCCTAGAGCAGTCCTTTATGCACAATATTAGAAATTTTATTTGTTCCTTTTTATTAATTTAGATCCTGACAAAAAAATAATTTTCCAGCCAGTTGGAGGGCTCAAAAAATTGAAATTGATATGAAACAATTATATAGTGAAATATCCTGTGTAATCAATTATAAAAGTCTTCTTAGGAGCTATTAATTAAATTCTAAAGTATAAAGGAAGGGAATAATTTGTCTTGCCTACACATTCTAAGTATAGAACAAAGGCATTGATTCTGGTAAACTGCTTTCAAGAGTTCTATTGTTACTTAGGTTAAGAGGAATTTCTATACAGGTGAATGGTCAGTTCTAAGAGATATGCATATATTCCCCAATTAGTCTCAGCAAGTAAAATGATGAATTTTGTATCCCTAACTCAAGGAGTATTTCATCAAATATTCTAGCTGTTAAGGTTGATATGTTCACTGAAGCCAGAGCCAGAAAAGAAATGTGTCTGAATGGAAGGGTGATAGGGGTGGGTAGCACCAGTCATAAAACTGTCCTAACAAAAATTATCCTAAAAATTGTGTTCTAACAAACAAATACATATCAGATGGACAAAAAGAGGAAGTAAGAGAGCAAGACAAAGGAAGGCCTAGAATATACCTGGGAGGAACAGAGAAAAAGTACATTGAAACATACTACCTAATTCAAGGTATTTAGTAAACCCAGGTATGATAAAAAAAAATGTGTAAGAAGAATTGGATTGAGAGGAAATAAGAGACATGGGTTTAGGTCTCATAAAGGCCTTGGAGGGTTGGTAGCAACATACTGTGTTTGATTTTGAGGATTAACCGGACTGATCTGGGGACACATAAAGAACATCCGTCATTAGAAGTTCTTGGAAGACCACATCTGGAAGCCCAAAACACAAGTCTTAGAGCTATAGCAACTCTCAAGGTTTTGGGGCTTTTTGTTGTTTGTTTTTGGCAGGACAAAGGATGGGGTGGAGTAAGGATAGAGATAGTATCCTGTCTCTAGGATAGATATGATGAAATGCTCCTTGAGTTAGGGTTACAAAATTCAGGAGGATTTAATTAATAAAAGAACTTTCTATACATATAGTATGTATAAAATTACACGTATTTTTAAAATTTATTTTTTGGGGGGGGGCAGAGAGAGGGAGACAGGATTTGAAGCAGGTTTCATGCTTTGAGTACAGAGCTTAAAGTGGGGCTCGAACTCACAAATGAGATCATGACCTGATTGAAACCAAGAGTTGGCTGCTTAACCCACTAAGCCACCCAGGCACCCCGTATAATGTTATATATTAAAGTGACGGGGTGCCTGGGTGGCTCAGTGGTTAAGCATCCGACTTTGACTCAGGTCATGACCTTGGGGTCTGTGAGTTCGAGCCCTGCGTCAGGCTCTGTGCTGACAGCTCAGAGCCTGGACCCTGCTTCAGATTCTGTGCCCACCTCTCTCTCAGCCCTTCCCCCACTCATGCTTTCTCTCTCTCTCTGAAAAATAAACATTAAAAATCTAAAAAAAAATAGTTTTGACCCTGAGAAAGGTTTAAAAAATATACATATATATATATATGTATATATGGTGTGTGTATATATACATATACACACACAAACATGGCGTGTATATATATTAGGGGTAATGTATATACAAAATAACAAAATGTGCTCATACTTTGACCTCTTAAGTAGTCATCCTATTACTAAAAATTAAAGCCCACTTATAAATATATATTAGACAGAACACCTCAGAGAAAGAGAATCCTTGGACTGAGATGGAGAAAATCAGAGTTTGTGTTCGAAAACGCCCTCTGGGCATGAGGGAGGTACGTCGTGGAGAAATTAATATTATTACTGTAGAAGACAAAGAAACTCTACTTGTTCATGAGAAGAAAGAAGCAGTTGACCTCACACAATATATTCTGCAGGTATGATGCTTTCTTTTGTGTTTGGAACTAATATTATCAAGTGTGTCAATTTGTTGCTTTTATTTGAATAGCAGCATGCGAATTCTAAAATCCAGTTTTTGCTTTGGGTATTGGCATTAATTTATTTTTTTTTTATTTTGAGAGAGGGAGCGAGAGCAGGGAAAGGGCAGGGAGAGGGAGAGACAAAGAATCCCAGGCAGGCTCCACATTGCCCATGCAGAGCCTGATGTGGGGCTCAAACTCAAAAACCCTAAGATCATGACCTGAGCCGAAGTCAAGAGTCGGACACTCAGTTGACTGAGCCATCCTGGTGCCCTGCATTCATTCTTGATGTAAATCATTAATACCCCGGGCTTTCATTAAAAAAAAAATTTGTAGTGCAGTGGGGGGAACAATAACATAATTTCTGCACTCCAGATCAATAGAGTTCCATCATACATTCACTTAACACCTTTTATGTGAATTTAATTATACCTGTTTGGCAAAAAGTGGGGCCTGAGGAGATAAAAAGAATGTAATGAATTGGTGGTAGATAGGACAGGTCACTGAGGTATGCCCCAGAGTGACTCTGAGATGATTGCATAGTCAGTCTCAAGTCTTGCCTGTGTCTCACAATGTGAACTTATTCTGCTGAGTGTGTCTGGAGTTTAATGATGGAGGATATGTTTTTGAGCAACAAGGTTCCAGATTGCCACTCAACTGCTTATTTCAATTCTCAACTGTCTTTGGGTTAGGATTGAACTTGGTGGAAATTGGACTCTTGAGCAGACCACTTGGTGTAGGTTAGATTATAGAGTGAGTAAATGTAATCCAGGGATATGATTTTTACATATAACTTAAAAGGATTTAAATGAAATACTAGTAGACACATAAAAAATACTCACTCCGTGCCAGAAGGGTTACAAGGAGTCCAAGGAGAAAGGTTTGGTATTGAAGGGAACTTACTTAAAGTAGTTAGATACTCCCTTGTAGTAATTCTTCAGTCTCCTATGGAAGCAGCAAACCCATAGATGGAAGACACCATAATTTAGGTACTCTTAAAATGATGACGCAATTGTAAATAAAACAGAGGATAATCCACCAGATGTTAAGATTTGGGATTCGGGTCTCTTTCTCTGAATCTGCCTCCCTAAACATTCATATTATATTCATTCTTCTCTCTCTCTCTTGCCTCAAAACCCAGTGACTGGTAGAAAGCAAAAGGTGGTGAGTAATCTCTTGTGCTAGCATTTCACTTTAGTCAGCTGAGATTTTACCCTCCTGAAATAAATATGTTAACACTGAAGTCAAATTAACACTTTCCCCCACTTTTCCATATGCATTGTTCATCTTTTTCTTTGGTTATCAAAATTGAGTTTCACAGCAACATTCAAAGTAATCCACTGAGTCTTTGTATGGGCACTAAATTAGTAGGTCACTGTTTAACCAACCCAATCACTTTAACAGCCTTATTGACTGCTAATCAATGCACAATCTATTAGGTCTAGGTGAGAGATATTTATTTTGAAGACAGTCTAAATAACAATTTGTTATAATGTTATCTAGTTCCATGCCTACTTATAACCATACTAATAGCCCTGTCCAGTCATCATCTACCCAAGACATCCTTAATGATGCTTTTGTCACAGTAATTCCCTCAAAGAAGCATCTCTTATCTTTTGTATTTTTCCATTATCCCCAAACACAATAACCTTCCTTCTTTGTCATTACCATTAGTCAATACTTATTGAATACCCATAGTTTTCATAGCACTTTCTCTGCAGTTTGAACTTTGGACCTTTGCTCTCATAGGTCAAAATCTTTACCTATCAATGCCATAATATAAGTATTGGGAGGGCTTTTACCCCCTTTTCTTTCCTTCAGAAGTGGAAAGAAATAAAGGGAGGTTCATAACACACATGGCAAATAAATATTGATCCTAGATTCTTTGGGTCTTATTTTTAAACTTCTTTAGGAATTCAAACAATAGGTTTGTGTATCCATTTAATTAAATATCCTATCCTTTCAAATCTTTTGTTACTTAGTATGTATGATTATATACATGTAGTGTGCTGTCTTACCATTAAATTTTGTATCAATATAACGTGTCAAAGGACAAGGAAACAAATTTGTGTATGTCTCATTCCAATTTCTTAAATGTATATAGTAAAAAGAGATGATACTGAAATATATCAAAAAGTCAATAGTGGCTTTTTGTGCAGTTAGATATATAGGTAATTTGTTCTCTGTTATTTTCCATGTTTTAAGGTTTTCTATAATCAGCGTGTTACTTTTATATAAAAAGTAAAAACTTTTGAGTAAGATAGAGTCACCTATTTCAAAATCAAAACCTACAAAAAGGTATGCAGTGAAGTGTCCTGCTAATCCCATTTCTTCCGTGTAGGCAACCACTATTACTTGTCCTATCTTTCCAGAGATATTCTATAAATACATATTACTTTTATAATCTGAAAAAACTTATTTAAAAAATAAATTATGGAACTCTGATCATACCAAGGCCAAAGTAAGTATTAATCCAACCTAATTGATAAAGTGTGACCAAATGAAATTATCTGTGATGCAAAGGGCATTATGGATTATATATGTATTTATATGTTGTACTAGCACTTATTATATAATAGCATGATTATAATTAACATATAATTATATATATAACATATTATTATATATATAATTATATATATGTTAATTAGAATAATCTTGTATGTTCACGTATCTTTCATTAAGGATACTTACAGAAGTACTGGAAAAATCAATATGTAAATCCTCTTGGAAGGAAAGATACTAATGGCTTTAATCAATAAATGTTTTCTAAGGTGTTTACTCAGGAGCTAAAGTTATTCATGACGAAGACATGAGAATAGCCTTAAAGTCTATTTAAGGAGATGAAGAATAGCCATATATTCAATGAAGCAAAAGAAAAATTTTAAAAACTCCCACATTTACTTGTTTTCACTTGTTTCTTACTTTCCTGAGAAATAAATACCAAAAAATATATTTCAGAAATATATTTTACTTTTTATTGCCATTTTTAAGTTTATTCAAAAGTATAATGAACCCCTATGTGCCTATCACCCAGATTCAACAGTTAGAGATATTTTATTCTTAAAAACATCACATATTTTATGTCACTAAATGTTCACAGATTTCTTTATCATGCTACACAGATTCCTTATTTTCTCACCTCCTAACTTTTGGAGATACTTTCTAACTGATAAATTCATCTTTGTGGCCCCAATTTCTCCTCAGGTGACCTAACAAATTTCCATTCTACTGTAATGGCACACAAAACAGAGTCAAACGTAGGTAGAGTGACCTACAATAAATTGGCCCAATTTACCTTGCTGGGTTTTTCCCATGCAATTTTTCCTTAACTGGATATTTAGAGCAGGCCCAAGAGGTAGCAGAAGATAGGGCCTCATGTCCCCCTTGTTGTATATGGACTGCCATTATTACACTACAGTTAGGCTTGAGATTAGGACTTTTACTCAGAGATGGCTGGCCTGCCAACATAATAAGCCTCTAAATTTTGCAAGTGATTATGGCTGCTGAATTAATGCTTTCCAGACCCATTTTCATAGGGTTGTCTATCCTTTTCCAGATTATCATGGTTTTTCATTTGGAGATCATCTTGGACTACTTTCTCTCCCCACCAAATCCAGGCAGTTGCCAAATTTCTTATGTATCTGTCTTCTCTTTATTTTTATTGACATCATCTAATTTAGACCCATCTTACCTCACCACTGGATTACCCGTGTCCCTGTTCTTAGTCCATTCACAGTGTGAAGCAAGGTTAGTCTTCCAGTAAAATCATTCTGATCATCCCTTCCCTTTGCAAAATTTTTGGGCTTCCCACTATTTGCTAAATTATATATGAACATTCTGACTTTAAGGCTAGTGTCCCAATACCCATACAACATAGTCCTAACTCATTATTCTAGCCTTCTATTTCACCTTTATACCTACCAAACCCTATATTTCAACATTGAATCTTCCCTGTTCCCTAAATGTTCCTTGTGTTTTCCTGCTTTGACTATTTTCTCATGTTTTCCCTGTACCTGGACTGTCTCCCCTGCCCCATCTCTTCTCTCAAATTCCTCTTCTTCCTCCATAGCCCTTTCTGTGTACAACCTTTTTCATAATCTCTTTTCTAATTAGAAGGAATATGTTTTTCTTTTGAATTCTACATGCCCTTTATCTCACATTTTTTCTAGCTTAGAGTTACGTGTGTACTTGTCTGGATTCACACCGTTAGGTGGTGGGGTGGGATAATGGTAGTGTAATATCAATATCTTTGGGCCCTTTGAAGTGCCTACTGCAGTTGTACATGTTACCAGCTGAGCAATACCTGTTTATGGAATTAAAAGCTCAGCTATATAATCTGTGAAATGGAAACCTTCCTCTAGAATTCCCCCAAATTTCAAATATGCCGAGCCTACCTGGACTGTGAGGATAATCCCCATAGAATTCAGTTCTCCTGGACCTAAGGAGGATTGGCTCACTCTTATGCTCATCAGTTTACTTCACTTAAGAGAGAACAAAAAATTGGGTGCCTTAGTTTTTACATTATAAGGACATGTCTACAGAGATCTCAAGTAAAAGAAGGCCCTGTCATTTGACAGTTATTGATTGCTTATTTATCTCTAAATTTGTCATAGTCTGTAGTTAGTTAAAAAAAAAAAAATATTCGCGCTTTTTTATGTGTTACCTAGAATCGTGGTGAAGAAAATCCAGAAAATGTCTGTATAAACATCACATTTCTTTTTCAGCATGTTTTTTATTTTGATGAAGTCTTTGGTGAAGCATGCACCAATCGGGATGTATACATGAAGACTACTCACCCACTCATTCAGCATATTTTCAATGGGTATGATAGTAATTATTTGTTTCTCTTCGTATTTTCTATTTTCCATAATCCTATTTCTTTATAAACATCACTTACATTTTTCAGTTTTTTAATTAAACATGAATTTGTGTCTTAATTTGATGAATTTAGACTCTGCTAAGAGTGGCTTGTCTCTATAGGATTTACCAAGCATTCAGAAATTTTCAGCAAAAATGTAAGTTTCAACAATATAATTTTATCAAAGTCCTCAGAATAAAAAGGTTTAAGAGGTTCTAGTTTGAACTTTTGATAATAGGAATTATGTATTCTGGCTATATGGTTCAGTTACCTTTTTCATTGGAGTGGGATAGATACGTGAATATCTGTTCTTTATAGATGTATTTTTTTAAATTATTGAAATAATTATTCACACTTAATAAACATATAAATGGGATAGAAAAGGCATTAGAGAGCTCTGTTGTATATTCAGAATATAGGCATGTATAGATAGAAAATGCCAAACAGTCTGCTATAATCACTGATTCCAGAGTATTTTGACTTCTTAATTTTATTTATTTATATTTTAAATGAGTTGACCTCTTTTAAGGTTTCTTTTGTTTGTTTTGAGAGAGTGAGAGAGAAAGTGCACACAAGCTGGGGAGGGGCAGAGAGAGTGGGAGAGAGAGAATCCTAAGCAAGCTCCACACTGCCAGCATGGAGCCTGACGTGGGGCTTGAACTCACAAATGATGAGATTATGACCTGAACCAAAACCAAGAGTCCGACACTTAACCGACCTGAGCCCCTAGGTGCCCCAGAGTATTTTGACTTAAAAAAATTTTTTTGTTTTAACATTTATTCATGTTTGAGAGACAGAAGAGAGAGTGCAAGCAGGGGAAGGGCAGAGAGAGAGGGAAACACAGAATCTGAAGCAGGCTCCAAGCTGTCAGCACAGAGCCCAAAGTGGGGCTCGAACCCATGAACCATGAGATCATGACCCAAGCTGAAGTTGGACGCTTAACCGACTGAGCCACCCAGGTGCCCCTTGACTTTTTAAAAAATATTTTTAAAAAATTTTAATGTCTTATTTATTTCTGAGAGAGAGAGAGACAGAGAAGCAGCGTGAGCAGGGGAGGGTCAGAGAGAGAGGGAGGCACAGAATCTGAAACAGGCTCCAGGCTCTGAGCTTGCAGTCAGCACAAAGCCCGATGCGGGGCTCAAACCCAGGAACTGCGAGGTCATGACCTGAGCCGAAGTCAGATACCTATCCGACTGAGCCACCCAGGTGCCCCTAAAAAATGATTTTTATAACTTTAAAAATATTGAAGTATAATTCACATACAGTTAGATTCTCAGATCTTAAGAAGTATTCAAGTTTGATGAGTTTTAGTAGTTGCATATATCCAAGTAACCAATACCTGAACAAGATACAGAACATTTCCATTACCCCAGAAAGTTCTCTTGTGTCCCCTTTTGGTTAATCTCCACCTCCACCCCCAGGTCTTATATAACCAGTGACCTGCTTTCTGTCACTATAGATTCGTTTTGCCTTTTCTAGAATGTCACAGGAATAGAATTATTCCCATGTACTTTTATGCTTGGCTTCTTTGGCTTAGCATATTGTTTTTTGATATTAGTACATGTATCTGGAGTTCTATTATTGAGTAATATTCCTTTCTATGAATATACCACAATTTGTCCATTCTCCTGTTGTTGGACATTTGGGGGGTTTTCAGTTTTGGACTCTTGTGAGTAAAGCTATATGAACATTCTTGTACAAGTCTTTGGTTCTTGGGCATGTTTTCATTCATCTTGGGTGAAACCTAGAAATGGAATTTCTGGGTCTTAGGATACGTGTGTGTTTATAAGAAAGTGTCAAACACTTTTCCTCACATCATTTTATATTCCCAAGAGCAGAGTGTGTGAATTGCATTTCTACATCCTCATCGTATTTGGTATTGTCAGTCTTCTTTATTTTAGCCAAGCTAATGGGTATGTAACTTTATCTCATTGTGCTTTGAATCTGAGTTTCCAAAATGCCTAATGATACTGAGAATCTTTTCATGTGCTTATTGAGAAGCCATTCAGATACCTTCATTTGCCCCCACATTTGTTTGCCTGTTTTCTTTTTATTGTTGTTTCATAGAAGTCATTAAAATTTTTTTAATTCTGGGCGCCTGGGTGGCTTAGTCGGTTAAGCGTCCGACTTTCGCTTAGGTCATGATCTCGCGGTTCGTGGGTTCGAGCCCCGCGTCGGGCTCTGTGCTGACTGCCAGCTCAGAGCCTGGAGCCTGTTTCAGTCTGTGACTCCCTCTCTCTTGACCCTCCCCTGCTCACGCTGTCTCTCTCTCTCTCCTAGAAATAAATAAAACATTTAAAAAAAAAAATTTTTTTTAATTCTGAGCAGGCTGAAAAAAGGAAATACCTTTCAGGTTGGATTTCTTATGTATCTTAGGGAGTATTTTTTAAGAGGGCAAATTTCTAAAGTTAGAATTTGAATGTTAGGGCACTACCAGTTAAAAAATAAGAGAGGTACAGGTTAAGTGCATCCATTCTGCCAAGCGTAATGAGAGATTTTTTCATGCCCATATTGTTGTTTTTCGAAAAGATCATCACTAAAATGTTCAGAAGATAAGGTAGATATTAATCTTTACTCTCATTTTGCCAAGTCATTTTATATTTTAGAGAGAGCATGAGTGGGGGGGGGGGGAGAGAGAGAGAGAGAGAGAGAGAGAGAGAGAGAGAGAGAGAGAGAGAGAGAGAGAGAGAGAATCTTAAGTAGGTTCCATGCTCAGTGTAGACCCCAGCACAGGGCTTGATCCCAGGATCCTGGGATGACTTCAACAGAAATCAAGAGTCAGCCGCTCAACCCACTGAGCCACCCAGGTGCCCCTCATTCTGTTAAATCCTCTGTGATGTGTTTACATTTTCCTCCTTTAATCCTTTCCTAGCTGTGCCCCTGGCAGGGTATGCAAGTGCCCACAATGCTGGGAGCCTGGATTCAAAAGACAAAGAGTAACTGGTCTTTGCGCAAACATCTTAAATCTGATTAGCTGTCATCTCTTGATTCTCACACTTCCATGGTTCCTTTGCTTTTGTCCTATTACTTGTTTTTGGGGTTCTTTCTGGCTTCAGGCCCCTTTCTTCATATTCTTCTCTCTGCCCACTTCCAATATTCCCCTACTTCTGTGTCTATACACAGACGTTTTTTTCTTAATGCAGGTAGCTACTTTTGTCATTAATCCATGCAATTTCCTGTTCTAGAGTCTGCAATAGCTGCTTATTACTTAACATGTTCACTTTCTGCTCTGTACTACATAGTTGAGTCTCCAATACTCAGATAACCTTGGCCTCTAGCTCCTCCAAAAACATGCAGTGATCGGCAGAGTAGTCTCCCAACTCTCCTCTGCACCTTTCATTCTCCAGTTCTTCACATTCGTACCCACACACATACCCACCCACATGCAAGAAGAGTGATTATCACTTAGAGCCACATGGTGTCAGGGCTAGAAGGAATCTTAGATAGAAATCAAATAACTAATTAATTTATTAATGAAAGTGAAAACTGAGGCTTTTAGAAAAACCCTTCTGTGAGTCCTTTCTCAAATATCTTGCTTACACTGATTTTACCCCTAAACTTCATTAATATTTATATGATTAGTCACTACCACCTTGTTCATCATATGGTCTTCTATTATTTTTGTATTTATTTTAATTCTTATTCTTTCATCAAACCTTTTCTGATTAAGACAAAATCATCTTCTCCTAGATTCTCTGGGGCATCTAGCATGGGTCCTTGTTTTCTTATCTTCCAGAGTTGTCTTATGGCATAACCAGTTCCACAAAAAATTCCCATTAAAAAACTCATGTTTTTTCCTCTTCCTGTATTTTTATAATGTAAAGTTCTAGTCTCCCTAAAGGATTGTATGCTTATAGCTGAATTTTATCAGCTATAAACAGGACTCTATTTCTACCTGACTTTGGTCATTAAAAATCTGTGTGTAGATGAACATTTCTCTTAGTATATATGTTATACAGATGATTTTTCCCCCCTAGAGGGAATGCCACTTGCTTCGCATATGGACAGACAGGTGCTGGGAAGACCTACACCATGATAGGAACTCATCAGAACCCAGGACTCTATGCTCTGGCTGCCAAAGATATCTTCAGGCAACTAGAAGTGTCCCAGCCAAGAAGGCACCTCTTTGTGTGGATCAGCTTCTATGAAATCTACTGTGGACAGCTTTATGACCTCTTAAATAGAAGAAAAAGGTACTGGTTATGAGTGGGAAACTACAAATCTATTCATCATTGTTTTAAGCCAGGGTCCCACAGAATTGCTGAATCATGGGATATAATGCAAGGCCTTGTTATATTAGTGCCCTTTTGTGAGATGAGTCTCCTGAATTAGATGAATATTTTTTAAATCAGTTCGACTGGAGAAAAATGCAAATTAACTTTCTATTAGTATTTTTTTAAAGTGATCTATATCCTTATGTTCATCAAAAGACTATCCCTTTTACTTTGATCTGTGAAAAGGGTGATTATTTCAGGAAGTCAGGATATCAACATGTTCTTAAATGCCTTCCCATTCTTGTGCTTATTATTACACTGGAAGAACTATAAATATTTCCTGCTTTCTGTTATTTTTTTTCCTCTCAGAAATCTTAGGTTAAACTTGATAGTTTTCTGAGATCAGTTAAAGAAATACATCTCTCTTCTTCACGTTAGATTTTTTTTAGCTCTTGTAAGTCTTAAACTGTTGCCCTTGCAACATGATACAGTAATTTAGAAATGGATTCAATGACTCTGACTTTAAATCCCTATTGTATTTTTCTGGCCTAAAGTTTTGTTTAGGTTGAAACAGCTGACTTTAACTGAGCAGGAAACAATGAAGTCGTGAAGGTACCGACTGACTGGGAGACTGAGGAGAGATGGAATAGGGGAGGTGGAAGGATGAAAGGGTGTCATAACGGAATTAACCAGACCTGTGACGTATTGGGAGCAGCCACTAATGGAGAGAATGGAGTTGGGGCAGAGCATGGTGGAAGGCTAGGGAAGCCAAGTCAGTGACAGAAACTAGCCCCTAGCAAAGGTATCCAAGCCCCTACAGAGCTGTCCAAAAGGATGTGCAAATTCCAGGCGAGCACTGGAACGGAGGTTGGGCTAGAAGAGCAGCTGAGTTCAGTGGAGAGAGCGTGATAGGGCAGGCCCCCATGCTAGCAGTGATGAGGTTTAAAGTGTTGGGGTCCAGAGTCAAGATGGCCAAGAATGAATTCTTGAGACATGTTTGGTGCAAAAAGGAGGTTTTATTAAAGCATGAGGACACCACCTATGGTCAGAGCTTCACTGGCCTTGCAAAGACTGACTGATTATGTAAGATTTTCTATCCTGTGGAGGGGAGAATGATGTTAGGGCTCCAGGAAATTGAGTCTATAGGTTTCTAGAGATTGCCTTTTTTCTTGTAAATCATTAAGACAGTTGCAAACTGATGGAAACTCTTGTCCTGCATGACAGTGATCTCTATCAGCTAACCATTTGTTTTTCCCTTTCCTTTGTTCTTGGGCAGCCAGGAGTGCCTGAGGAATGTCTGACAAATCCCACCTTGGTGGGGGGGGCAGAGTGAGCCACCAGTGTTAGCTTGTACTTTGCCCTCAGCTTGCCTTTGTTTCCCACATGAGTATTGAGTAGTGAAACTGGAGAGGCCATCAACTGGTCTTAGGCAGACCACCATCTGTGGACTATTCCAAAGAAAAGGGGACCTTCGGGTATGCCACAATTCAGAGAATGTACAGGTGTTCAGGATTTGGTCCTGCCACAGCAACTGCCAGATAAAGGAGGGTTCTGCTCTGAGTTTGCTTTGGAGAAGAGTTGCTTTTCTTTATTACCCTCTCTTTGTTGTTTTGAAGGTTCATGTTAGCTCAATCACAGCTTCTCTTCCAGACCCCAACGGGTAACCAGGCACTGAGATGCAAGAGCTTCTGGCTCTGAGGGTCCCAAATCCCAAACAGACCAGGTTCAACCAGTGGCCGCTGACAAAACTCAAAGAAAAGGCAGAGAAACAAGTAGTGGTGAAATAAGAAAGGAATTGAGTTCAGTGGGACCAACACCAGGAAAACAGTGGACTAACATTTCAAAGACTGCCTCCAAAGTGCTGAAAATACTTCCAGGTTTATATAAAGAGAATGTGGGACAAAGTTCCATGGGTTTGTGCAGGTGGGCAGTGAAGTCAAGTTGATCATTGACTTAAGGCCAATCATGGGCAAGGTCTTGCTGGCTCAGGGCAGTCCTTTATTGCTTGAGAGTGTGGTTTCGGTTCCCTTCTTGGGATGCTTTGCCTGCAGGATCTTTTCCCAAATTTAAGAGTATGATACACTGGAATGAAAATCTTTTAGAAAGTTTGAGGTCAAAATGCAGGTAGTTGAAGTCTTCTTTGTTTAAAGAACAGTTGGCATGAGGATAAAAGCTGTTGTTGTGCTGTGTGTGTATGTGTGTCTGTCTGGTTTGTTGGTTGGTTTCTTTGGGTCAAGGGACAGTCAGGATATCTAGTTATTTGTGAGTGTGGTTCTTTAGTGAATTACTCAGATATATTGCCCTGTATATTTGCATTCTTTTTCAGTTTATTTGTTTTGAGAGGTAGGGGAGGGGCAGAAAGAGAGGGAGAGAGAGAATCCCAAGCAGGCTCTGCACTGTCAGCACAGAGCCCGACTCTGGGCTTGAACTTGCAAACAGTGAGATCATGATCTGAGCTGAAATCAAGGTGGGAAGCCGAACCAACCAACTGAGCCACCTAGCTCCCCCCCAGCCCAAATTAACTCTTAAAGTAGAGGATAAATTGTTTTTATACCCTTGCGTAGAAAGTGATAGAAATACGTTTCTGGCTGATAGGATTTAAAAACCTAGCAGTACATTTTGGGCTGTCCATTAGGAACTTTTCTGGGGTGAGCTCAGGGCATAGGACCTAGCAAAGTATGTTTAGGAATGACCTGAGAGCTCTGAAAGCTTGATCCTTCTTTTATTCCAGAGGCCTAACTGTTCTAATAGAGTTATTTTCTGATAGGTCATGGGGATTGGTGAAGCTGTTTTCCTCCCATCCTTCTGTAAAAATTTGGAAACTTGGGGTGAAATAAAAACTAAGAAAAAATTTTTGAGAAAATCATTTCCGTTTTTGGCTATAAAGTGGAATTCCATTCTGAACCTTAATCAGTATCTTATTAAGAAAGAAAAATAATCTTAGATTCTTTGATAGATTCAATACATGCCCCTTGAGATGTCTGATTTAGTAATGATGATAAACCATAGCCTTATACATGGGCCTGAGAAATTCAGTTACAGCACCAGCTCTTCCTTCCTCCCTTTGAAGATATATGAAGACTCCTTATGTTGGAAATAGAGTAGAACTCCACTTCCACTAGCTTAAGTATTTAGGAGAGTCATTGGCTCCTATAACTAGAAAGCCTGGAGAAGAATCAGGCTTTAGGGCCTGTTTTCTCTAGCAGCTCAGGGATATTATAAGGGACCTAGTTTCTGTGCATCTCTCTGCTCTACATTCTATGATGTTAGCTTTCAAAACAGTCCCTCTAGTGGATACAGAGTGGCTGCCACTGCTCCCAGAGCCACATACTTTGACTTCCAGAAAGAGCCAGCATCACCACCTCACTCCCAGGCACGTAACAGCCAGAGACAAGGACTTTATTTTGATTGGACCAGCAGAGATCCCATATCCACTCCTGAACCAATCACTGAAGCCAGGAATATACCATCTGTTGATTGGCATAGGTCTGGATTATATGTTCATTCTTTTAATTGTAGCCAAAGATGTTGATTTGTTTACAATAGTCAAGGACCATCTCTGAAACCCAGGGCTGTGGTCAGGAGGTGTGTGAAGGAGCGGTTGGGGAGGATACGCATCAATTTCGCTCAAGTAATAGAACTGCTACCTAATAGGGAAATGGTGAAAGGTTTCTGGGGAGGCAAGAACATAGTCCATTATAGCAGGTCTGCCATACCAACGTTGTTCTTTTATCTGCAGGCTCTTTGCAAGAGAAGATAGCAAGCATGTGGTACAGATAGTGGGACTGCAAGAGCTTCAGGTGGACAGTGTGGAGCTCCTCTTGGAGGTAACTCTTCTTACTACCCCACGGTAGCAACCTGAGTACAGGGAAAGAATTCATTTTGCTATCTTGCAAGAGTAATGGACTTAAATTTAGCCAGAGGGCCATGACAAGCATACTACTTCACATTTGTAAAATGTGAGTCCTCTAAGAGGATATAGCTCCTTTTCCTACAGGGCTGTTGTCTCAGTGCCACGGAGTGTGAGGGGGAACCTCGTGCATGAGAGGCTACTCTTGTGCTACTTTGACAGACTGCTAATGTGTATTTCTATGGTAGTAGGAAAAGCTGCTGGAGAGAAATATTCTTTTTTTAAGTTTATTTATTTATATTGAGAGAGAGAGAGACAGACAGACAGATAGATACTGCAGAGGAGGGACAGGGAGAGGGAGAGAGTCCCAAGCAGGGTCCACACTGTCAGCACAGAACCTAATATGGGGACTTGAACTTAATAAACCATGAGATCATGACCTGAGCTGAAATCAAGAGTTGGATGCTTAACCAACTCAGCTACCCAGGCATCCTGAAAAATGCTTACTTTTAAGTAAAAATTTTAATGGGTAAGGGGCACTTGGCTGACTCAGTCAGTAGAGCATGTGATTCTTGATCTCTGGGTCATGAGTTTGAGCCCCAAATTGTGTATAGAAATTACTTAGAATTAAAAAAAAATTTTTTTAACTTTTTAAATTTATTTCTGAGAGAGAGACAGTGTGAGCAGGGGAGGGTCGGAGAGAAGGGGAGATACAGAATCTGAAGCGGGCTCCAGGCCTGAGCTAGCTGTCAGCACAGAGCCCGACGTGGGGCTCGAACCCACGAACCGTGAGATCATGACCTGAGCTGAAGTTGGACGCTTAACCATCTGAGCCACCCATGCACCCCTAAAAAAATTTTTTTAACAGCTAATACTTTCACATGGGTTCAGAATTCAAGATATACAACAAAAATGCCCCTACCATTCCCTTTTCAAATTGAGGCAACTAGTTTTATTAGTTTTTTTGTATATCCTTCCAAAGGCATTTCGAAATCTTTTATTAAAAGTTATCGTTTAGGAGCACTGTTTCTCTCTCTCTCTCTCTCTCTCTCTCTCTCTCTCTCTCTTTTAAAATAAATAAGCTAAAAAAATTTTTTTAAAACTATCTTTTAATACTTGGTCATTATTAGATATAAACCTTGCAAAAATATGTAAGAAGATAGAAGAATAAAGGCCACCCCCAACTTACTATATACAGCTCCCCACTCCCTACTGAGATATCCAGTGTTAATGGTTTAAAATAATTAATTTTGGGGGGCACCTGGTGGCTCAGTTGGTTAGGCGTCCAACTTTGGCTCAGGTCATGATCCCACGGTTTGTGGGATCGAGCCCTGTGTCAGGCTCTGAGCTGTCAGAGCCTGAAGCCTGCTTCGGATTCTGTGTCTCTTTCTGTCTCTGCTCTTCTCCCACTGGTGCTGTCTCTCTTTCTCTCTCAAAAAAATAAATATAAAATAAAATGAAATAAAATAATTAATTTTTTCCCTTTTCTGGGAATTTATTAACTTATTTACAAATATATATATTTTTATTACTAAAGTATTTTTTTTTTTTTACAAATAGTTTATTGTCAGGTTGGTTTCCATTTTTTGTATAACTAAAGTATTTTTTTTACAAATAGTTTTTTTTTGTTTTTTTTTTTTTACAAATATATTTTTGTTGAATCTTCTTCAATGCAGTGGTCCTCAACCTGGCTTTACATTAGATCATTTTATTGTGAAAAATAGCCTATACAGAAATATGCACAAAGTCTAAATGTGTATTGTATAATATAGTATAGTATAAAGAAACAAACACCTTCATAATCAGTTACCCAGATTAAGAAATGGAACATTTCAGCACCCCTTACACCCCTGTACAACTTGCCAGTCACAGTCCCCTATACTCCTGACATTTATGCTAATCACTTTCTTGTTCTTCGTTATAGTTTTACCACTTATGTATTCATCCAATAACTATATTACTTAGTGTGCAGCTGTTTTTTAACTTTGAATGAATAGAATCACACCGTATTGTCTTCTTTTGCTCACCATTATGCTTTTGAGTTCAGTCTATGTTTTTGCATATGGCTGTAGTTTTGTTTTTATTTCCTATATAGTATTCAATCATATGACTGTACCATAACTTAACCATTCTGTTAATGGACAGTTGGGGTTGTTTCTATTTGGCGACTATTCTGAACATCGTAACTATGAATGTCCTTGTACATGTAATCCAGTACAGTTCTTGTTGTAAAGATGTGCACATATTCCACTTCACTAGCTTTCCAAAGCTATGTACACTACAGGTGGTGCGTGAGCACAATCCCATTGTTCTCCATGCTTGCCAACACTTCCTGTTTTTCAAATTTATGCCAGTCTGGAATTGTTTAATTATGTCTCATTGTAGTTTTATTTTGCATTTTGCTGATTGAGAATTCAACTGAATAGGTTTTCATATTTTTAATTTATCTTATGGGTTTCCTCTTTGGGGGATGCCAGTTAGGGTCATTCCCTTATTTTGGGGTTGTCTGTCTTTTTCTTACTGATGTGTATATATGGATATGAGTCATTTGTCAGTTATTTGTGTCATAAACATGTTGTCTTATTCTGCGGCTTGTCTTTCTAGTTTCACCACAGTGTCTCATTGCTTACTTGAGTCCCTCTGAGGCCAATTAAATGAGAATCTCTTGGGGTCAGGCCCACATGTAGATATTGTTATCCTGAACTGAAATATTGGTCACATACCATAATGTTCACCTTTTTAAAGTGAATGCTTCAGTGTTACATAATTTTTTTAATTAAAATATCCACATATAATAATCACCCTTTTAAAATACACAATTAAGTGGTTTTTAAAGTATATTCAGAAAGTTGTGCAGCCATCTCCACTATCTAATTCCAGAACATTTTCATCACTTCAGAATGAAACCCTGTACCATTAGCAGATGCTCCATACTTCCTTTGCCTCCAGGCCTCACAGCCACTAATTTCTATCTCTATAGATTTGACCATTTTGGCCATATCATATAAATGGAATCCTACAGTATGCAACCTTTTGTCTCTGGCTTCTTTCGCTAAGCATATTTTCAAAGCTCACCCATGTTGTAGCACAGATAAATACTTCATTCCTTGTTATGGCTAAATAATAATCTCTTATGGATACATTATTTCATATATATATATATGACACTCTCTCTCTCTCTATATATATATATATATAAAAATATATAATTTTATTTTAGAGCAAGCTTATGAGTGGGGAAGAGGGGCAAAGGGAGAGAGAATCTCAATAAGTCTCCACGCTTAACTCAGAGCCCTGCACAGGGCTTGATCCCACCACCCTGGGATCATGACCTGAGCTGAAATCTTGAGTCAGATGTTCAGTCGACTGAGCTACCTAGTTGCCCTTATTAATATTTTATTCATCCATTCATCAGTTAATAGACACATAGGTTGTTTTCACTTTTATAGAAACCACTATTATGAATAATGCTGCTGTGAGCATTATTCATGTACAAATTTTTGTGTGGACATATGTCTTCAGTTTTCTTGAGTCTATGGCTAGGAATGGAATTGTTGGGTCATACTTTTTTGAGGAACTGCCAAATTGTTTTCCAAAGTGGCTGCACCATTTTACATTCCCAGCAGCAATGTATGAAAGTAGATGTTATTTTAAATGCTCTTCATGTGATTCTAACATGCAGTCTGCAGCCATTGTAATCATTCTTATTCTTTTAGTAGCAAGCCTGGCTAGAGTCATAGAGAGAAAGCTAGAAGGACAGGCCAGGTATTTGGCAAGACCTAACTTTAAAACAACTTCACAACATACACCAAAGACTTGGGTGTGTGAAATGGCAGGGTGGCCCACCATTGATGTCTTTTTCTGACAGTTTCTTTTCCTAGGACAAATAAGTAAATTTTGCTTAAGGGCTGAGACCTCATATTTGTGTGACTATTATATTCTTGAGTCCTCGGATAAAAAAAATCTGAGGATAGCACATGAGTGTGGCTATTTTACAGTTACTTAAGAGCCAAGGGCCCCTTTCTAGGAATTGTAAAATCAAGTTTGTGGGATGTGTTGAAGGGGCTTCCCTGAGATTGTGACCATTCTTTTTTTTTGTAATGTTTGTTTATTTTTGAGAGAGAGGGCATGAGCAGGGCAGGGAAAAGAGAGAGGGAGACAGAGGATCTGAAGTGGATGCTACACTGACAGCAGAAAGCCTGATGTCAGGCTCAAACTCATGAACCATGAGATCACAACCTGAGCCAAAGTCAGATACTTAACCGACTGAAACACCGAGGCACCCCGAGATTGTGACCATTCTTTTTTTTTTTTTTTTTAATGTTTTATTTATTTCTAGGAGAGAGAGACAGCGTGAGCAGGGGAGGGTCAGAGAGAGAGGGAGTCACAGACTGAAACAGGCCCCAGGATCTGAGCTGGCAGTCAGCACAGAGCCCGACGCGGGGCTCGAACCCACGAACTGTGAGATCATGACCTGAGCGAAAGTCGGACGCTTAGCCGACTGAGCCACCCAGGCGCCCCGATTGTGACCATTCTTAACCTGTCCAGAGCACCCTCCATTGTGGAGTCCTAAGGAAATTGTTTCTTATACTCCTGTTCACTCTGGTTCTCTTGCCCCCACATCCCCCAGCCTTTCCTTCATTTGACAGGAGAGTTGCTGCCCATGATGCCTTTATCCCTGAAGATTAAACCAACTGAATGCGAAAGGAGCAAACGTTTAGGAGGAAGTCCCTTTTCCTTAGGTATGGGCCATAATTGTGTTAATGGGCAGTCTGGTGTCCCACCACCCCCTCTACCTTTGGAAGAGTTTATGGTACTGCTCTATCTTAAGATATCTTTCCTCCACGCCCATCTACCCCCCCCGCCCCCCGCCCCATCAGTCCTCAGTTTGTTCTCAGCATTCAAGAGTCTCTCATGGTTTGCCTCTCTCCCTCTCCACTATTTCTCCCCTTCTTCTCCCCCATGGTTCTCCATTAAGTTCCTCCTAATCCTCCTATGCGTGCAAACATATGGTATCTGTCCTTCTCTGCCTGACTTATTTCGCTCAGCATAACACCCTCAAGGTCCATCCATGTTGCTACACACGGCCAGATTTCATTCTTTCTCATTGCCATGTAGTATTCCATCGTATGAACACTGGGTGTTGTATGGAAACCAACTTGACAATAAACTATTTGTTAAAAAATAAAATAAAATGAAATTATATAAATTAAAAAAAAAAAAGCTGGTTGGAGTAAAAAAAAAAAAAATCTTTCCTAAGAAAAGCAGAAAGAAGGGGCTTAGTTGATTGTGCGTCCGACCCTTGATTTAGGCTCAGGTCATGATCTCATGGTTCATGAGTTTGAGCCCCATATTGGGCTATGTGCTGACTGCCAGCCTGCTTGAGATGCTCCCCCCAAAACCCCACTGCCCCTCGAATTTTCTCTCTCTCTCTTAAAAACTAAAAAAAAAGAAAAAAATAGCAGAAAGAAATTTCTTGTTAGTGTGTTATCTCATTATCGCCATCAATACTTTCAGTCTGTAACATATATGATGGTGTACAAGAAACCAGCTGAGATCAAGGTGGAAAGTTGATATAAATTATGGATACCCTCATAAACATTTATTGAAACAACAGCACTTGCTAACTCAGGTGTCACACTTTCTCAGGTTTTACCATGCTCACTCGGGTGTCACCCATGTGTTTGCTCAAGTGTCACCCACAAGTGTCATCTTTGAGTGTCACCCTCACAAATCACCCTCAGGTTCCCTCAGATGTGGCCACGTGCCTGCCTGCACAACTAGCAGCCGTATTTTCCCCGCAGGATTGTCCTTCCTTCAGGAACTATCTCCTTCAAGTGTATTTTATTACCTGGTCTTAACAATGCAGACACCACGTCCTCCCTGCCTTTACAGAGGACACGCTGACTCCTCACAGTACTCAGTTGTGGAATCAAGATTTCTTCTGTCAGGGAATTGATGAGTATTTTTTCAGTTGTAGAGATTTACAGATTTTTAAGTCATTTCGATAGCCGTTTTATGTGCTTATGGGCATCCATTCTCAAACTTCTCATAAACCTGTTTCATGTTTTATCTTTGCCCTGCCTGTAATTGGTAGCAGAGGCCCACATGGCAAAAGCTTCCCCTAGATGAGCCTCAGTTGTATGCCAGTGATAGAGACTTACTCGGCACACAGCGCCTATGCTGCTAATGTGCTCCTAGCCCTCCTTCGGTGTAGGCGCAGAAACCATAGTAATTAAAGCCTTATAATCATACAGAGCAGGTCCTGGTGCCATATATCCTTCAGCATGTCCTTTCCCTTTCTGAGCCTGAAACATGCAGATGATAGTAGATGACTGGGTTGGATGATAGAGGAGGAAATGAGATAACATACAGAAAATGGTTGGTGTGACACTCGCTCAATGTGCCACATCTGTTCTTATCAATAATGTTTATTAATAATGTCCCTGAATGTTTTCCAGGCAACAGAATTCAGCAGTTGTCTTTAGTTTCTTTGGTGTCAGGTCCCCATTTCGCTACTCCTATAACACGTTTTGTCTAAAGGACCTAGATTTAGAAATTTGCCCAATAGACTTTAGTTATGGAAGGAAGAATTTGAGGAGGAGGAGGTAGTAGAGGAAAAGGAAGCCTAGTGATTTTTAAGTTGATTGCATTTTTTTTGCTTGGCTCCTATACTTGCACTTTCCCCCAAATATTCTGTTTTCCCCTTTTCTTCTCCTTTTTCTTTTTTGGTTCACTTGTACTCGGGAGCCCATGGAGTCTCATGTTGATCTGTAAAGTCTATTTCACCATGAAACTCTGATTGTTTCACATTTGTGAAAAGAAAAGTTTTGGAAGTTTACACAAAGATGTTCGTTCTCGGGGCACCTGGCTGGTGGCTCAGTCAGTGGAGCATGCGAATCTTGATCTCGAGGTTGTGAGTTTGAGCCCCACATCAGGCTCTCTGCTATCAGCATGAAGCCTGCTTCTGATCCTCTGTCCCCCTTTTCTGCACCTCCCTCATTCCCATTCTCTCAAGAATAAATAAACATTGGGGTGCATGGATGGCTCAGTTGGTTAAGCATCTGACTGTTGGTTTTGGCTTCGGTCATGATCTCACAGTTTCGTGAGTTCGAGCCCTGTGTTGGGCTATATGCTGGCAGCACAGAGCCTGCTCGGGATTCTCTCTCTACCTCTCTGCCCCTTCCCTGCTTGTGCTGTCTCTCTCAAAAAATAAACTTAAAAAATTTTTTTAAATAAATAAAAACATTTAAAAAAGTTTTATGATCTTCACAAACTGAGTCATTTCTACTCCTCAGAGCTCAGATGCTTTATTTCAGTTTCTGAAAGGCATGGTGATTCTAAAACTGAGGAAACCGGACCAGAACCAGAAATCCCTTCAGGCCTTCCCTAAAAGGCATTAGTGAGGAAAGGTATCCTCAACACATTAGGTTTTCTGAGACCTACTCACAGGTACCTAAAGGATCATGATGGATAAGGTGGACAAGGTGCATGAATAACCAAGTGTAAAACTATAACAGAACCCCAGAAGCCAATCTTTCTTCACTCCCCTGGGGTGAACCACAAACCATCCTCTGAGCGTCTGTCCATATCCGCTGTGTCTAGCTGGTTTGGCCTTGTGGCCTTTCTCAGCTCTGTGTCATCATTACTCTCACACGTGTCGGAGGCCACCTGGCTTCTATCCCTAGCCTGACCATATTTGACCTATGTGACCTCGGATAAGTCACTATGTTCCCTGTATTTCTTCCCTTATCAAGCATATTGTTTATATAAACGTAGAGATTTAAAAGATCTCAACTGTCTCCTCATGGGGCTTGTAAAAGACCAAAAACAATAAGCAAAAAAACAAAAAGAGGTCTGAGAGCCCTAAAACTAAAGGGAAATACACCAGAATCTTAACTCTGGGATTATGCGAGGTATATATCTTCTTCTTGATACTTTTCCTACATTTTCCAAGTTTCCCACAGTAAGCATGTCGTCCTTTTCTAATAGAGAAAAAAGAAAAATTTGATAAAAAGAACATTACACATCATCCTGGCATTATAGTATATGTACACATTAAGTCAGTGATAGGAGAGAGGTCAGGATGAAGTACATTTGAACTAGGTGGTTCAGTTACAGACGTGCTGTAAGTGGCCTGGCCAGCATTCGAGCTTCGTTAGCAGTGCGGGGAAAGGGCATCTGCCACACCCAGTGTAAGGGGCTCTGCTCTCCTCTTATGATTCTAATTAGCAATAACATACTAGCTCTGCAGTTGGTAATCCAGTGTTATAAGTTAATAGGTTCTTCTCTTTATAAAAAGATTCATCAGATAGACCTGCTACACTTTTAGCAAGCTGTTTACAAAATGAGTGTATCTAGAATACGATTCTAAATTTGATTCTAAAATACAATTCTAGGGGCAGCTGGGTGGCTCAGTCAGGTAAGCAGCCAACACTGGATTTCGGGTCATGACCTCGAAGTTTGTGAGTTTAAGCACCACATCAGGCTTTGAGCTGACAGGCTAACAGTGCGGAGCCTGCTTGGGATTCTGCCTCTTTCTCCCTCTTTTTCTGCTCTGTGTATTAGTCATTCTGTGATAACACATTTTTGTCCTTTGCTTTAGTTACTAAGATAGATGGGTATTATGGGACCTTGCTTTGGAGACAAGTCATGCCCTGGAGATTGTAGTCAGGCTAAATCTATCAAAGATATAAAAAAGAGTTTATGAGATCAAGAAGTAAATTAGCTCTTCAGCTATTAAATGTTCTCCCCCAAGGTTAGTATTCCACATTGTTTGCACTGCTGTTGGGTACTTACTCTGTATGTTTTAATGTTTAGGCAGATTTCTGCATACAAGGGAACTGCAGTGTACGGACAAAGGTATATGCCTGGTCTCTGTTGCTCTCAGCCAATTCTTAGAAACCGGAGGGCTTTTTTATTTCTTAGGGAAATAAGAAATATTTCACTCTGGATTTGATTTTCAGGTGATTTTGAAAGGCAGCAAGGAGCGCAGCACCGGGGCCACTGGAGTTAATGCAGACTCCTCCCGCTCCCATGCTATCATCCAAATTCAGATCAAAGATTCAGCCAAGAGGACATTTGGCAGGTGAGCTGGAAATATGCAAGGAACTGCATTGTCTGCCTTTCCCTAATGTGACTTTGAAATATGTGTTACCAACAACAGGACACTCCGCCACCGTGGAGTTTTTAATAAATATCAGAGATACAGAGTAGAGTTGTTAGCACTGAAATAAATCATTGTATTAAAGTGCCATCAGTTGATTAACCATGAAGTAATGACCTATTGTTGGTCAAGCCTAAGTTATTAAAAGGGACATTGATTGCTTCTAACATGAAACACAGCATCAGCAAAGGAATAGTAGGAAATGCATCTCAGCTTACAGGCCAAAAAAAAAAGGGGGGGGTAGAGAAAATTAATCTATCCTTCTTGAAAGAAGCCATAAGACAATTGAGTACATTCATTGCTTCTCTGGTGCTATCTTAGCAACCTGTGCCACACTGATGGATGAGCCCATCTCACCTCCAAGTAATGAGTCTTTTTCTTTCTTTTTTTTTTTAAACTTTTCTTTCTTTTCTTTTCTTTTCTTTTTTTTCTCCTTTCTTTTTCTTTTCTTTTTTCTTTTTTGGCTGGAAAGCAGCCCACAGAAGTTTCTATTTAATTGCCTAAGTGGTCACATATGTGACTTGGATTGTAGTCATTTAGCTTTATGGGAAGAATGTTTTATTAATTTTAGTCATACTTTCTGACAAATGATTAAAACCAACGGAAGTGTCTGAGTGAACAAGTGCCAGCAACAGCTGACATATCAGAATCTTACAATACTTTTGGAAAGCTGACAGTAATGTCTTTTCTTTCCTGAGGATGGGCCAGTGTTGATTTCTTCCTGCCGCCACAAAATGCTGACTGTTGTAAAAATAAACCAAAGCCCCAATGAAGTTATCCCTACTGTGTCTTTTCTCTAGGATCTCTTTTATTGACTTGGCTGGCAGTGAAAGAGCAGCAGATGCCCGAGACTCAGATAGACAGACAAAGATGGAAGGCGCAGAAATAAACCAGAGTCTTCTGGCTGTAAGTTGTTTGAAAAAATCTAAAAATCCTTCTTGAGGGGGACCTGGGTAGCTCAGTTGGTTAAGTTTCTGACTGTGGTTCAGGTTATGATCTTGTAGTCCATGAGTTCAAACCCTACGTCAGGCTCTGTGCTGACAGCCCAGAGCTTGAAGCCTGCTTCGGATTCTGTATCTCCTTCTCTCTCTGGCTCTCCCCTCTGCCTTCTCTCTCAAAAATAAACATTAAAGTAATTTTTTAAAAATCCGTCTTGAGAGATTTTGCCCCTCTTTACATGCAGCCAGAGTGGGTGAGGGTGGTGTGGGTGGAATCCGCAGAGTAAGGGCGTGATCTTAGAGTCTGGCAGTGGAATTCCAAGGTTGGAGATGGAGCCTGTCCAGTCAGATTCTCAGCAAAGGAACTGACCAGTATTTCTACAGCTGCTGAAAGGTTAACTTAAGTAAGCTTTCTCCCTCTCATCAAATTTTTAGATTGTATTTTCAAACATATGAAAGTAGAACAAATCATATAATGACCCCCCGGCTTCAACATGTGAAAAATCTAACCAACCCTTTCCTTCCCCTGGTTGGATTATTGTAAAGCAAATTCTGTCATCCTGTCACTTCTTCCACAAACATTTCATTATCTCAAGGAGAAAAGGGCTCTTATTTTTTTTTAATATACCTGCAATGCCATTATCACACCTAAAGAAATAATCATGTAATATTATCTATTATCTAGTAAATATTATCCTTCCTCCAGTTGTCCCATAAATGTGTTTTCACAGTTGGTTTGTTCAATTCAAGATGCAAACAGGACCCTTGGATCACTTCTCATAGTCTCTTTTATTCCATATCAGTTCTTCCACTCTCTCTCTCTCTCTTTAAAATCCATGTTCAAGAAAACTGAGTACTTGTCCTATAAGATTTCCTGCATTCTGGATTAGGTTGACTGCATCCCCATGTTGATGTTTAACATGGTACTCTGTTCTCTATATATTTTCTGTAAAGTGGTTAAGGTCTGTATTTGTGCAGTATAGTAGCCACTATGCCACATGTGGCTATTGAGCACTTCAAAGGTAGCCAGTCTGAATTGAGATATGCTCTAAGTGTAAGACTCTGGATCACCCTGGATCTTGAAGCAGGCATAATATCTCATTAATATTTTTTCCTATTGATTACACGCTGAAATAATATTTTGGGTATACTGAATTATATAACATATAATTAAGATTAATCTGGAGTGCCTGAGTGGCTCAGTAAGTCAAGCATCTGACTCTTGATTTCAGCTCAGGTCATGATCTCGCTTTATGGGATTGAGCCCTATGTTGGGCTCTGCACTGGCAGTGTGGAGCCTGTTTGGGATTCTCTCTGCCCCTTTCCCACTTGTGAGTGCTCACTCACTCTCTCTTTCTCTCCCTGTCAAAATAAATAAAAGAAATAATTTCAGGGCGCCTGGGTGGCCCAGTCGGTTGAGCGTCCGACTTTGGCTCAGGTCACGATCTCAGTTTGTGGGTTTAAGCCCCGCATCAGGCCCTGAGCCTGCTTTGGATTCTGTGTCTCCCTCTGTCTCTCTCTCTCTGCCCCTCCCCACTTGTACTCTGTTTCTCTCGCTCTCAAAAATAAACATTAAAAACATTTTTTTAATAAATAAAAAATAATTTCATATTTTAAAAAACAAATTACATGTATGGTTTGTACTTGTGCCTAACATTTCTATTGGGAAAGCACTGTTCTAGAAGCTTGATGTGATTGAGGTTCTGTTTTCTTGGCAAGAATTCATGGGTAGTTTTTAGACTTCCTATAGCAACACATCAGGAGGTACAGAATGTCTGGTTGTCTCTTTTTGTGATTTTTTAAGAATTGAGAAAAATTCCAGTGTTGTCAACTTAATTTGTCCAGAATAGCTTCCTATCAGACTTTTTCATTGAATCGCTTTAGCAGCTATTGATGAGCATCACCTGTATCTGTTGTTTTATTAGAGATTCCAAATGGTGATATTCTAATACTCCTTTATTAGCTGGAAAGAACTTTTCCTCAACTGATTATTCTGAAATATAGTTCATACAGTAGAGACAGGATAAATTCTTGATTCTTTGCCTTTACTGTTTTTCAGAATGATTGGTGTCCTAGTAATGTAAACATGACCAATGAATTTGTTATTTACTTTTGTTTATTTTTCTGTATTATTATAAACTCATTATAATCAGTTTTTGCTATTTAAATTGAACATATTTGGCCAGCGGGAGCCTTTTCAAGTATGTTCCTGTGTCTTTTTGACCAGCCCTCTTAGTCTTGAATAGCTTCCTGGCTTTTGGCATGACAAGATAATCTAGGTTCATCTTGTACATTTCCTCTTGTACATTTCCTTTTCCAGACCTTAAATCAGCCAATTCTTCAACAAGTCTTGGTTTTAGAAGGAAATGGAATTTAGAGACCATTAAGGGGTGCTAGAGGTGCTTAATACCACTAGGTTAGTGGACAGAGCTAGGAAATAGATTTTTTTTGAAAGGGAAGGTAGATCAGGGATTCATACTAATAAATCAAAATTAAGATTACAAGGGTTTTGGTTAACTTTTTTGAATTTTTATTTCCCTTTTCTCTTACGCTAGAATTCTTGGTTGCTAACATTAATTTATTTGCTCTGCTTCATTATATATCTATTTCAAAATAATGCTAACACTACTCATAATGTGATTATTGAATTCAAATTAAGATTTCTTTGCAGTTTCCTTTTCACTCTTAAGTTGTCCCACTAGGGATGTATAGTCCTAATACTGTTTGCAAAGTTACTTTACACACACACACACACACATATATTTGTGTGTGTATATATATATATATTTGTATTCCACCCTATTGTCAGAAGAAGAAGAAAAAGGGTGGTATACTGTAAACACTTTGCTTTTTTCCCTGACCAGGATTCTGGGGCTCACTATACAGTTCTGTATAGAGACCTTCCTTGTTCCTTTTTGCAGCTGCACAGTGCTGCCTGTGCCCCTCAATATTATCTAAGTCCTTTTGACCAGAACTGAAGTCTCTAGCTAGGTACTTTATTTCCAGGCCTCATGAAGGATAAATTGCAAGGCTAGAAAGGTGAGGGAGACCCTCAGCATCTGTTTTTACCTTTTTAATTTTTGAACAATTTTAAGTTTTACAAAAATGCAAAATAAATGCACAGCATCCAGAGTATTAACCATATGTAACCATAATAAAATGATCTAAATCAGGAAATTAACATTGGTTATAATCCTATTAACTGAAAAAAGAAAATTTTAAAGGGGTGCCTAGTGGCTTAGTTGAGTGTCCAACTGTTGATTTCAGCTCAGGTCATGATCCCAGAGTCATGGGATCGAGCCCTGTGCCAGACTCCACGCTGAGCATGGAGCCTGCTTGAAATTACTTCTCTCCCTCTCTCCTCCACCCCCCTGTCTCCCACTTTCTTTCTCTAAAATAAAATAAAATAAAATAGTTTCAAATAATAAAAATAATACAATACTATTAACTAATCTACAGACCTTGTTTGAATTTCACCAGTAGTCCCACTGATGTCCTTTCTGGGTCTAGGATCCTATATTACATTTAGTAGTCCTGTTTTCATCGTCGTCTTGGTTTTTGTTGTCTGTGACTTTAACATCTTTGAAAAGTGCTGGCCTTTTATCTTACCAATTGTGAATTTGGGTTTATCTGTTTTCTCAGATTATATTAAGGCAAAGAATTTTTAGCAAGAACACCACATAAGTTCTGTCCTTCTTGGTGGATCATATCAGGTGGTGCATGAAGTCAGTAAGTCTTATTACTGGTGATGTTAATTTTGATCACTTAAGGTGGTTTGTGCTAGGTTTCTCCACTGTAATATTACCATTCTTTCCTTTGTAATTAATAAATATCTTATGGGAAGATACTTTGAAACTATGCACATATCCTATTTACATCACACTTTTGCTGCCTAATTTTGGCATCCACTGATGATTCTTAATCTGCAGCAATTATTACTGTGGTGTTTACCTGGTGGGATTTCCTGTTCCTATCATTCTTTTTACATTAATTAGTTGGAATTCTGTAAGAAAGAGATGTTCCTTTTCTCCAATTTATTTATTAGGTTATTTATAACAGCAAGTGGATATTTCTTTTATTTGCTAGATTATAATACATTTCTATCATTATTTTATTGCTCAGATTGTCCCAGATTTGGCCATTGGCAGCTCTTTCAAGTTGGCTCTGGTATCATTTTGATATGCCCCCATCATTTTTTTTTCTTTATATATTTTGAGAGAGAGAGCAAGAGTGAGTACAAGCAGGGGAGGGGCAGAGAGAGATGGGGACAGAGGATCTGAAGTGGGCTCTGTGCTGACAGCAGAGAGCTTGACACGGGGCTTGAACTCACAAACTGTGAGATCATGACCTGAGTTGAAGTCAGATGCTTAACTGATTGAGCCACCCAGGCGCCTCATCCTCCAACATTTTTGAGCGTATCCTTGCCTTTTGGCATTGTAAGATGTCACACACTTATCTTTATGCTTTCCCTGCCCTATCCCTGGAATCAGCCATTTCTCCAAGGAGGCCCAAAACCAGTAGCATTTACAGGTTAAGATTCTAAGACCCAGATGGATTAAGTGAATTGGCCAGGGATCCACATCCTCTAGCTACAAATCTGTGATTCTCATGTCCAAAAGTCAAATATAAAACCTGGGAAGAAGTCCATGGGAAGTCATGCAGCCTCTTGAGGCTGGACTATGCAAAGGAGCCTAAAAACAAGCCTTCTAGAACAGCATCATTATCTCATGCTTTATGGGGCACCTGGGTGGCTCAGTTGACCATCTGACTCTTGTTTTCAACTCAAATGATGATCCCACAGTTGTGGGATCAAGCCCCGCATCAGGCTCTGCACTGGGCATGGCGCCTGACTTGAGGCTTTCTCTCCCTCAGCCCCTCTCTCCTGGTCATGATCTCTTGCTTTCTCTAAAAAGTAAAAAAGATTTTTAAAAAATTAAAATTAAAATCTTTATTAAAAAAAACCTTGGGGCACCTGGGAGGCTCAGTCCAACATCCGACTTTGGGTTCAGGTAATGATCTCGTGGCCTGTGGGTTCAAGCCCCATGTCGGACAGTTCAGAACCTGGAACCTGCTTCAGATTCTGTGTCTCCCTCTCTCTGCCCTTCCCCCTCTTGCATTCTCTTTCTTTCTCTCTTTCAAAAATAAACATTAAAAAAATTTTTTTTAAATATCTTGTCCTTTGTAAGGTGCACAAAGTTTCCCCTTGTTTCCTTTTTGAGTATTCCCCTTAGTTCTCCCTTAATGTTTAATAAAGTATACTTTGTTTTGATTCAGCAGGGCAAACGGGACTCAAGGGTCATTGGGATTGGTGGCCATACTTGGTTTTGAGTATGTAAGGGGCAGGTGTAGTACCTTTTGGAGAATTGCCCTGGTGTTCAAGTTTGGGGATATTTTTAATAAAAGGGGAAATTCCCTTATACAGGTTTCTCCCACTATCTGAAAATAGAATTTTCCCATGAAACCTTTCATAAGCCAAAATAGCATAAGGCAAAGAAGTGATTACCATTAATTTATATGGGAAAAATGTGAGCATTCCCAAAACACCAAAAATAACCTTAGGCTTTTCTGATACCTTAGGATACATCTTGCTAATGGGTGTACTAAATCAAGATAAAGCACAGATGGAGGAGCCTAGTGGCTTAGTCAGTGGAGCATGTGACTCTTGATCTTAGGGTCATGAGTTCAAGGCCCCCATTGGGCATAGAGTTTACATTAAAAAAGCTGTTTGAAAAAAAGATAAAGGGTGTCTAGGTGCCTCAGTTGGTTAAGTGCCCAACTCTTGATTTTGGATCAGGTCATGATCTCACGGTTTGTGAATTCCAGCCCTGTGTTGGTTTCTGAGCTGACAGCACCGAGCCTGCATGGGATTCTCTTTCTCCCCATCTCTGCCCCTCCCCTGCTCACTCTCCCTCTCTCAAAACTAAATAAAATCAGTCAGTCACAGATGCAGACACAGTTGTGCTGAGATGCTGAATGTATTTCCCTGGGAAGGAGCTAGATGGTGCCACTCTCGCCACTCTGGGTACACACTGCACCTGTCAAGGCTTGCTGCAAAATAAACACTGAATACTATTTTTACTTTTCATCTTTTTTTTAAAACTTTTTTTAATGTTTATTTTAGAGAGAGCGAGCATGGGTGGGAGAGGGGCAGAGAGGGAGATGCAGAATCTGAAGCAGGCTCCAATCCCTGAGCTGTCTGCACAGAGTCTGATGTGGGGCTCAAACTCACAAACTGTGAGATCATGATTTGAGCCGAAGTCAGACACTCAACCGACTGAGCCATCCAGGCACCTCTACTTTTCACCTTTTTAAATAAAAGTGAAAATCTTTAAATTTCTTTCAGTTAGCACAGACAGGTACTAATGTAGGCCTTTTATAAAAGTGAAATAGCATAACCTGAACTTTCAAAAAATGGAGGGTAAGTGTTCCCTCCTATTCACTGCAGCTTTTTGGATAGAAAGGAGTTAGTGGCAAATATTGATGCCCATAGCTAAGAACAGCCATAGCAAACTCTCAAGGCTAATTACCTCTTCTTGGTGAGCCCCAGCATGAGTACTTCCGAGGATTCCTTCCATCCTATTTCTTCCCTTCCCTTACATTTACTTTCTTTTAACCTAGATGCAGGACTCCGAAATAGATCTCTTCTCCCTCATCCTGTTCCCCCCACCCCGCTGTTCCTGTTTTTTCTGATGAGCTTGTTGCCCCTGGAGGTCTACATACCTGGATCTCTGAGCACTAGTGATGTTCAAATGTGTACTTTTTTGAGGGGGCTTATGTCCAGGAGCAACTGAAACGCCCTTGCCTTTGGGACACAGTCCCTGCCTTTTTAATAGAGGGCGGCAAACAATAAAATGAGAAGGTAGATTTAGGTGATGTCCCAGTTCCTTTCCAGCTGTGACTCTAGAATTCCTTCTGTCCCATTCAGAAAAATTTTTATCTGAGTCTAATTGGAATCTACACGTATAGGTGTGCATGTGGGAGCAGGGAGGTTGGGGGAGTGGTGTAGATACTCTCTCTTCTTTAAATTTTTTTTTTTCTAAGGTTTTTATTTATTTCTAGGAGAGAGAGAGACAGCGTGAGCAGGGGAGGGTCAGAGAGAGAGGGAGTCACAGACTGAAACAGGCTCCAGGCTCTGAGCTGGCAGTCAGCACAGAGCCTGACGCGAACCCACGAACCGCGAGATCATGACCTAAGCGAAAGTCGGACGCTTAACCGACTAAGCCACCCAGGCGCCCCTACTCTCTCTTCTTTCGCACATCCGTAGCTGATAATAGTACGAGAGGAGGTGAGAAAAAGGGAGCTGGCAAGCCAGATCTGCCACCACTTACACTTGGGTTCTGGGGTCTGTGGGAAATTCCCTAGTTTGTCTGTTCCCCACTACCAGGGCTAACTGTGTCGGGGGGCCCTTAACTAGACACAGGTAACACAGGATGATGTTTCCCAGTCTAGCTTGATATTTCTTGTTGGACAAGAAACTACCAGGGCATTTGACTTCCTTTTGGAGGATTGCCTGAGTGTGGCTTAAGACAAGTCTGATCTGTTAACTCTGCATGTGATATTTGATGTGCTTGTTACTTATTCTACCACTCTGCAGCTGAAGGAATGTATCCGAGCTCTGGATCAGGACCACAGCCACACTCCCTTCAGGCAAAGCAAATTAACTCAGGTAAAGTTAAATGTGAGCTTTGAGTTTGTTCTGTTTGATTCATTCGTTCTTGCATTCATTTGTTCATTCAGCAAAGCATCCACTGCCAGAAATACATGATGCTAAGCTTGGGGGTCCAGGGAAGGAAAGAGTCATGTTATTTCCAAGAGCTCATTCAAGGCAGAGAGGGACATCCTTGGGCAGAGATGCCTTCGGTGGGAGGCAAAGAAACATTTTTTATTTAGTGGAGTCTCTAAGCCTTTGAAGGGGGGGTGGTGTAGCTGTACTAAGTACTTTCTTAGCTATAAGACTTAGACTAGTGTTTCAAGATAAAAAATAACAGCTAGCATTAAAAAGAATGAGATAGATGTATTTTTTAAAAGCTTATTTCTGGAGCACCTGGGTGGCTCAGTCAGTTGAGCATCTGACAACTCTTGATTTCGGCTCAGGTCATGATCCCAGGGTTGTGGGATCGAGCCCCGCATCAGGCTCTGCACTGAGTGTGAAGCCTGCTTAAGATTCTCTCTCTCCTTCTGCCCCTCTTCCCTGCTGACATGCTCTCTCTCTCTCTCTCTCTCTCTCTCTCTCTCCACAACAACAACAACAAAAAAACCAAAAAATTATTTTTAAGTAATGTCTACACCCAACATGGGACTTGAACTTAAAACCCTGAAATCAAGAGTCACATGCTTTGTCTACTGAGCCAGCCAGGTGCCCTGGATGAGCTAGATTTTTGATGTGTACTGATAGGAAAGATGACCAAGATCTATAGTATAAAAATACGTAATAAGGGAAAAAGCCTACACAAAAAAAATTCTGCATGTGTTAACTGATTATTCTGAGTGGTAAAACTATAGGCAAGTTTTTTCCTCCATTTTTCTGTCATGAAACTGTGCTTTATTAACAGAAAATGCCAGTAAGTCAGCATTATAATGGCTACTGAACAATGGCTCAGGGAGGGGTCTACCTACATACAAACTGCTGTGAAGGCAGTGCTTCTGATTCTGCACCAAGTCCTGTGCCCAGAGGAGGATGGACCAGGGTAGGGGGCAGTCTCTGAGAATCCTTGTATTTGGGGAGAGGCTTTCACTCTGTGCAGCTATCCTAATGCTCTACAGGGCCTGTGGCAGAACCTATAATAACATAACTACTTACTAGTCAGAACTGGTTAGATTATATAAGTCTTCTCAAACATTTCAACCAGAAACTTAGAAAACCCTTCTAATAGGTGGTTAGTCCTGATTCTGACATTGGTTATGTTATTTTTTTTAATGTTTATTTTTGAGAGAGAGAGAGAAAAAGACAGTGTGAGCAGGGGAGGGACAGAGAGAGAGGGGGACACAGAATCTGAAGTAGGCTCCAGGCTCCGAGCTGTCAACACAGAGCCCAAGATGGGGCTTGGACTCCGGTACTGTGAGATCATAACCTGAGCTGAAATCAGATGCTTAACTCACTGAGTCACCCAGGTGCCCCTTGACTTTGTTATTTTTTAAGACAGGTTCACCATCCCCAGAAAATATGTTCCTATTTAATTTCAACAAGTAATACTTCAGGGGTACCTGGCTGGCTCAGTTGGTGGAGCATGTGTCTCTTGATCTTGGGGTTGTGGGGTCAAGCTCCATGTTTGGTGTAGAGATTACTTGAAATAAAATCTTTAAATAATAATAGTTAATTCAGACCATATATACAAGTACAAAGAAGATAGTAAGAAGTACCAGAAAATTCCACCTCCCAGTGATAATCACTGCTGTGTTTTGGTGAACATCCTTCCAGACAGTTCTCTGCCCATATATTTACATGTAGATCTACTTAGAGCTATGGAGTAATATACCTTTTCACTCAGATTAGACTTTAGATCTTCCCATGTACCTGAGTATAGCTATACATAATTTTTTAAAGTTAATTTATTTTTGAGAGAGCATGATGAGCAGGGAAGGGACAGAGAGGCTGAGGGTGGGAAGAGAGAATCCCAAGTAGGCTCTGTGCTGACTGCACAGAGCCCGGCATGGGGCTTGATCTCATGAACTGTGAGATCATGACTTGGGCAGAAATCAAGAGTAGGATGCTTAGCTGACTGAGCCACCCAGGTTCCCCACATAATTATTTTTAACGGTTGTATTGTATTCAGTTAACAATTTGTTTCCTGTTTATAAACTCCTAGATTCTCCAATTTTTATTATGTTGTAATACATATCCTATATGTACTTTTTTTTTTTTTTTGATCAGTTGAGCAGTTCTCTTTACGATAACATTCTGGAAGTGTGCACTTTTTTTAATGTTTTTATGCATATTGCTAAACTGCCTTCCCAAAACAAAAGCTTATACCATTTCATGGTACTTGCTACATGGCTAGTGTATCAATGTAGATAAGTACCCATTTCACTGGACCCTCACGAGGGCAGGTATCATGAGTCTTAATCTTATAGGTGAAAAATACTAGTACTTTTAATGGATTGTTTGTACTTCTTTGGTAGTGAAGTACATGCTTCACTCTTTTACATGCTTGATCATTTGTATTTCTTCTTTGTAAACTGCCTTTTTGTAGGGGGGAGGGGAGCCATGGCCCACTGTCCTGCACACAGTAAGTAGTCAATATGCCTCTTGTTAGTTGACTTTGTTTACTTGCCTTCTGTTTTGGACAGGTCCTGAAAGATTCTTTCATTGGTGATGCCAAAACCTGCATGATTGCCAACATCTCACCAAGCCACATGGCCACCGAACACACTCTGAATACCTTGCGTTACGCTGACCGGTAAGTTGCTCTCAGGTAGCAGGTCATGTGTGCAGGTCTCATACACACATAGGGGTGTGATCTTGAGCTCAAGAAGCCTGTTCTTGAGGCAGTGATACTTGTCCCAGGGGAATGTGCAATTGGTCGTGACCTAGTAGGCCTTGCCATTTATAGGTGTGAATGTGACGAGAGGATGAGGACACGTTGCCTGGTTCAGGAGACAACTCCATCGGTGATTTTTAAATGGCTAGTGGGAAATGAAATCTTTCTTTTTGAAGTTTTCTTCCTGCTAGCCTCAGCCCTAATTGTAAGGGACAGAATGTTACTTGTTAAGGCAGAGTCACTTAGAGCTATGTAGGTCCAGAAGAGAATTTAAAAAAACTTCTTTCAGGAGACATTATTTTTTTTTTTAATGTTTTACTTATTTCTAGGAGAGAGAGAGAGAGAGAGACAAGCATGAGCAGGGGAGGGTCAGAGAGAGAGGGAGTCACAGACTGAAACAGGCTCCAGGCTCTGAGCTGGCAGTCAGCACAGAGCCCGACGCGGGGCCCAAACCCACGAACCGCGAGATCATGACCTAAGCGAAAGTCGGACGCTTAACCGACTAAGCCACCCAGGCGCCCCTGGAAGAATCTTTAGTATCCATGACATTTTATGAAATTCATTGAGAAGGAAATACGAGGTATCATTTAAGTTCAACAAAAACAGGAAACCTTATCTTTCTCTCTTCTGAATCTATTGCTCAGACAGTGCTTGGTACCTACTAGATGCACAATAAATATTTGTGAATGAGAGGAGGAGCTCTTCCTGAGTGTTAGGGTGAGGCACTCTGTGTACCATCTCATTTAAATAGGAGAGATACTTTACACAGTGGTTACAAGAGCTCTGGAGTCAAGACTATCTAGGCCAATAAATACCTTGTTTCTGCCCCAAAACAGCTGAGTGGTCTTGGGCAAAAGTTTTGGGTTCAGTTTCCTTATCTGACAGGGTATTAGCATCTACATCATACAACAGTTACGTGGAACCAGTGAGGATAATATGTGTGAAGGACTTAGCAATGTGCTGGGCACATAGTGACTACTCAACATGTGTTAATTTAAGCAATAATCATATTAATAGGTCCCCCAAAATAGGTTTCTTTTATTGCATGATTTCCTAATGCCCGCACACTAGCACTGCTAGGAGAAAGGCTACTTCATGAACTGAGATCAGCTAGAAGATGAGATGGGTTTTGTTTCCAAAAACCCAATATGGCTTGAAATTCTTTACCCCCATGTACCCATTACCTAGCTTCAACAGTTATTAACAGTAAGCCAAACTTGTTTCATAACCCCACCCACTCCCCATATCATAGACATTGTTCTCAATTGCTTAAAGTAAGAACTTGATCATTAGAAGCAGAGTATAAGACCGTCTCCTCAGTGACTCAGTAAAGGAAGATGAAAATAACCCTTTCTCATAGGGGATGTATTAAGTATAATTGCAAAATTATTTGAAATAATTTTGGCTTTAAAAAGAATGGAAAAAGTACAATAGATTCATTTGAAGTAGTCTGATACATTATTGAAAATAAATGAGGGGCACCTGGGTGGCTCAGTTGGTTAAGCACCCAACTCTTGATTTTGGCTCAGGTTATGATCTCACATTTCATAAAATTGAGCCCTGAGTTGGGTTCTGTGCTGAGAGCATGGAGGGGGCTTGGGATTCTCTCTCCCTCTCTCCCTCCCTCCCTCTCTCTGCCCCCTCCCCCTCCCTCCCTCCCCCCATCTCCACCCCTCATTCAGTCACTCATGCTGTCTCTCTCAAAATAAATAAATAAATAAATGAAAGCCACTTGTTTAATGTGCTTAAATGAGGCGTAGAAGAATGTTGCTAAGTAGTCCAAAAATAAAGTTCCAGCTGGACTCCTTTAATCAGTATATCAGAAGAGCTCAGTGATAGCTCTGATTTTGGTGACAGGAAGAGTACTTTGGAAGCATTTAGCATCAATGACCAAATTACTTGTAGGATTCCTTCTGGCACTCAGCTTCGTATAGTTATTTACTGTGACTCCTGGGGGAAATATTGGTGTTTCTATATTAATGAAACTAAAATACTTGAGATTTTTGTAACGGGACGTAATTTGGAACCACTTAGACATCCTGTGGCACCTCTCAGCCCATTGCTTATATGTATGCCCCACTGCAACACCTAAACAAAGGCCTGTGGACACAATTCGTGTATATTTAGTCACATCCTACATCTCTTTGCTTAGCTATGTTACCTGCCTGCTTTGGCTCTCAGACTTACAGAAAGGATAGATTTAAATCAAATCAGACTTACAATCTTGGTTTTCAGAAATGGCCAGGGGTCATTTGGCTACTGGTAATGATTAGATTGAAACCAAAACAATGGAGGGGCATTTGGGTGGCTCAGTCGGTTAAGTATCTGACTCTTAATCATGGCTCAGGTCACGATCTCTTGGTTTGTGGGATCCAGCCCACATCAGGCTCTGCACTGACAGAGTGGAACCTGCTTGGAATTCTCTCTCTCCTTCTCTTTCTGCCCCTCCCTTGCTTACGTACATGCACTCTCTCACAAAATAAACAAACTCTAAAAAAGGGGGGGGGGGCAACTGGGTGGCTTAGTTGGTTAAATCATCTGACTTTGGGTTTCGGCTCAGGTCATGATCTCACAGTTCATGGATTTAAGCCCCACATCAGGCACTGCTGGCAATGTGGAGCCTGCTAAAGATCCTCTCTCTCCCTCTGTCTCTGCCCCTCCCCTGCTCATGTTCTCAGTCTCTCTCAAAATAAATGGATAAACTTAAAATAATGGAAAAGACATTTTATAGGAGCCCCTAAGCAGAAGTACTGCTTCCTTCTAGGGGATTTTTAAATATATTTTTTTAATTAAGTAGGCTCCTCGCCCAACGGGGGGATTGAACTCCTGACCCTGACATCAAGAGTCACATGCTCCATGGACTGAGCCAGCTGGGCACCCCACATCCTAGGAGATTTTAATGAAGAATCTACAAACCACTGTAGAGTCACATTTTTCCTTGATGTCCCGTTGTAATTCTAAATCCCTACAGTGTTTTTAAATATCACAGAGTAAGAGACTGATCTTAACAACTAAATCCTAGCAGACACCTAATTCTGGCTTTCCCATCTTCTCTAAAATTCCCGTGCTGAATAGAGCATGGTTCTATATTTCTCTAACTAGGAGGCAACTTTGCCTCCCATGGGACATTTGGCAATGTCTAGAGACATTTTTGATTATCATGACTTAGAAGTGCTTCTGGCATTTAGTAGATGGAAGCCAAGGATGCTGCTAACCATCCCACAGGGCACAACACAGGACAGCTCCCCACAACAAAGAATTACCTGGTTTTCCATTTAACACTGTGCTAAGGTTGAGAAACCCTAGGAAGACAGGTCACTTTTCCTTTAGTAGAATTAGGACAAGCCTATTTCCAGAAGGTTTTGCTTCCTGAGTTCTAGCAAGTTTGAGGGAACTCATTTTCTTAGAGAAGCCTGAAAGGAGATGGACTGCAAGAAACGTGGGCTCTGGCTATGGAATAGCAGATGCGTGGGTAGACCCCAGTCTCCTGAGTTGGCCCACCTTCAGGAAGTACAGCATGGGTCCTACATGAATGTAGTGCAGTTCAGAGACTAGCTTCCCGGGCCTATCCCATGGGACTAAGGTGATTTCCAAAACTTCTGATCATAGAATGCTGGGTATATGCTTACATCCTCAGAGAATACACTCATCTTTTTTGTAATACTTTTTGGTTTTTGAAAAAATATAGAAAAGGAATTAAGGAGCATGCAGGAATACACATTTAACGTAAAATGGTAATTTACAGGGTCAAAGAACTAAAGAAAGGCATTAAATGTTGTGCTTCAGCTACCAGTCAAAATCGGACCTCTGGAAACTCTTCTCCAAAACGAATCCAGAGCTCCCCTGTGGCCCTGCCAGGGGACAAATGTTCTCCTAAAAAAGTCAAGCTGGGACTTCAGTCATTCACAGCAGCTCCTGGCTCCGTGAGAGGGAAGGCCCATCCTCTCGCCAACCACCCACCCAATATCCCTTTTGCTCCTGTACCTAAAGTTCCCAGTAAAAGGGGTGGATCCAGAGGGAATCTTCCCCAAGAGTGGGTTATTCAGACTGGCCCTGTGAAGGCAGTCACACGGTCTGGACATTCAGCCAAAAAAAGAGCGGAAGAGTCTGCCTCACTGTGCTCTGAGAAAAACCAAACCACCAACAAAGCTGCCCACAGGGGGGGAAGCAGGACCCCTGGCCCAGAAGACCCCGTGCATGGCAAACTGCCCTCCAAGTGCAAGAAAGTGCAGACTGTGCAGCCGGTGCAGAAGCAGCTTGTGTCACGAGTTGAGCTCTCTGCCGGCAACCTCCACCACTTAGCAGAATTCAGTCAGGGCAGTAAGGGGAGCACACCTGCCAGGTCTGCCTCTGGAGCTTGGACAGACATCCCTCCACATCAGAAGGAGAGGGAGGAACATTTGCGCTTTTATCACCAGCAGTTCCAGCAGCCGCCTCTCCTCCAGCAGAAGTTAAAGTACCAACCACTGGAAAGGTTTTTATGCCAGCACAGGCCCCTAGAGGGGCAGCTCCAGAAGGAGACCCCTCCTCCCTTCTGCTCTTATTCTGAGAACCAGGATGCAGCCCAAGCTGAGGACCTTGATGACAGTGATTTCAGTGAAGATTCTTTTTCACATGTTTCCAGTCAGAGGACCACAAAGCAGAGAAACACCCTAGAGAATAGTGAGGGTTCATTCTTCCTTCATCAGAGGGAGCAAGGACCTGAGGAGCAGGTAGCTGAAAGGCAGCGAAGTCTGCTTTTTAACTCCAGGACAGATGGCGACGAGAAAAGTCTAACTGGGAGCTGGATGTACTCCAGGGACCCCACAAGCCACAGAAAAGCAGCAGTTAATCATAGTCACAGCCCAAGTAAGGTGCCTTTGGACTGGAGCAGAGAGGACTCTACCTCCTCAGCGCCTTCTCCCAGAGACAACTTGGCAGAGAAGCCTTACTGCTCACAGGTAGACTTTGTGTATGGCCAGAGAAGAGGTGGCAGCCCAGCCTTTGATCTCAGACAGAATGCCTTCAAAAGTGAGGTTCCTGGACAGGCCGAGGGTACTTCACCATCCCTGGAGGAAGATGGTTTCATTTTCTCACTATCCCACACTGCAGTTCCAGGATCTCCAGACCAAAGAGACATAGTCAGCGCACCTCTGAGAGAAGTCAGCCAAGTCAGCCCAACAGTGAAAAACAGTTATGCTTACCAAGAAGAAGACTCTAGAGGGGAATCAGGCCCATGCTCTGAATATGCTTCTGGAGTGATGGCTCCCCTCACTGTGTCCCTCCTGGAGAACACAGACAATGAGGGCTCTCTTTCCTTGGAGCAGCTGGCCCAGGATGGGCCTGTGCACAGTCTAGTGGCAGCAGACACAGGGGGCCCAGCTGTCGACCACACAAAGTCATCTGATGATCAAAAGGAACTCCTGCCGATCTCTTCAGCAACTGGGCACCTGTGGCTCTCGTCATCTCCCCCTGACAATAAGCCTGGTGGTGATCTTCCACCTCTGTCCCCATCACCCATCCGTCAGCACCCACCTGACAAGCTGCCCACAAGTGAGGCTGACCTAGGAGGGGTCTGCGAGAGCCGAGAGACTGCACTTTTCTCCCAGGAACATGTGGGTAGCCAGCAGTATGATGCTGATGCTGAGGAGACAGAGCTGAACAGCTCCCAAGGTTTCCCAGTAAAGCCCTTCCCCACCATTCATACTGGAGGAACCCACCCTGGGCCTATATTCACCTCACAAACAGAAAGCAGTGATATGGCTGACCAAACCTGGACCCAGGAAAGAAAACATCCAACGGGGCTTGGTTGGCAGAAGCGGAGTTTGTCCACAGACCCCATCAAGTTGCCCTGCTCCAATAGAGACGTCGTATGGCTCAAATACAGGCTGATCCCAAGGTGCTTAGCAAGGCCAGGCTCTCCCTTGATCCTCAGCTGCTCTCCAGAGATGGCAGGAACAGTCCATCAGCTCACTCTGGGGCATGCACAGTAAGTTGGACACTCTCCCCAAGACTACAGCCCCTCTGGCACCCCTACTTCCACCCCAGGTTAATGTTTTGTCTGTTCTGGGAATTGCTATTGCTGGCTCAGGGTCAGAACTATTCTACAACTAGAGAGGCTTTGTCCAGCTTTTCAAGGGAGCCTACCTAGATGCACCTGACATGAACAGCAAGAATAAAATGTATGGGAGCAGGCCCACCAGGGTGCATGAACCCTGAGTCTGGGAAAGCTGGGACTTGAGTGAGAGAAGGGCGGATCTGTCACCTGTGCTGAGTTCAGAATCCTCTTCATTCTGTGGGGTCTGTGTTCCTGAAGTGCTGCCCAGGGACACAACAGCTGTAGCTTTGTGCCCCCAGAACCAAGACAGGCTGGGCACCTTCCAAAATGGTGATGGTCAAAAACAGAAGGACTAGTGATTTGTGTTGCTTTCCCCAAGGGATGCTGTGGATGGTGCAACAGAAAGAGATGAGACAGAAGGTACAGAGGAAAAAAGGCAAAGAGAATCAAGCAGGGCCCCTCTCAGCATTAGAGGCTGGGAGATGGAGGGCAGAGTGGGGGTGTGAGAACAGAGGCTACAGCCCTTTGCTAGGGCTCTTGATATCTAGGCCGGCTGTATGCCTGCTGCTTGCTTAGGCTCAGGCCAAGGCAGTGGACAAAGAAAATGACATGCAGAGATGCACAGGTGAGAGGAGCTGGTAGATCTTCTAGTTTCTAGCTCAACCCCCCTGCTTTGGTCCCTGGACTCCCTTTACAGAGGAGAGATGATGATGGCAGGCAAGGCAGCAAGGTCTACCTTGTGCAAAGTGTGCTACCTCCAGTGGTCACAGCCTTGAACCTTTTGGCAGGGAAGCTATGGACAGCTCCTGTACAGAAGAGCACTCATCCCTGTCCTTCAGTGTAGCTGGGGAGACGGGACGGCTCGAGAAACCCCTTTCCCAGTATACTCCGTGTCTAAACAAGTCCTGAAAAGAACAGGTGACAAGGGAGGAGGTGGTGGTGAGCTGGCCCTGGTCAAAACCACTTTGGGCAGAGGCAGTTCCTAGCCTGGAAATGAGGCTCAGCTCCAAAGTTGTCCAGGAGAGATGGAAGGCCCAGAGGATCACACAGTCCCCTCTGGTGTTCCCAGACAGGTGGTCATCCGAGCACACCAGGAACAGCTGGATGAGATGGCAGAACTGGGCTTCAAGGAGGAGACCCTAATGAGCCAGTTGACTCTTAATGTAAGTGGCCTTGGCTAGACACTCAGGGGCTCTTGGGAATTAGCCTGCGGGTAGTTTGATGGTCATCCTCGTTTGCTTCAGTTATGTATGGGGTAAAGGTCTGCTGTCCTACTCTAAGAAGCCTTAGGCCTCTTGCCATTCTGACATAGCTCAAGGGGGTGCAAGGACAAGTGGGAGATGGTACTACACTCCCTCTTTCCAGGCTAAAACGTTTCCAGCCTCTATCCTTTGCCATTCAGCTTTCTTACTGACCTGCTAGGACCCCTCCCTGTGACGATAGTAAGTAAGCTACCACATGGAGACCAGAGGTACTTTTACAAAAACACTTCTGAGTCCTGAAGAATACCTCTCATAGAAGTTGCTCAAATGCAGGGGCGCCTACCTGGTTCAGTCAGTGGAGCATGCAACTCTAGATCTTGGGGTTATGGGTTTGAGCCCCACATTGGGAAGAGATTACTTTAAAATAAAATCCTGGGGGCGCCTGGGTGGCTCAGTAGGTTAAGCATCCAGCTTCAGCTCAGGTCATGGTCTCGTGGTTTGTGAGCTCGAGCCCCACATCAGGCCCTGTGCTGACAGCTCAGAGCCTGGAGTCGGCTTCCGATTCCATGTCACCCTGTTTCTGCCCCTAATCCCCTCCACCTCGCAAAAATAAACACTTAAAAAAATTTTTTTGGGGGCGCCTGGGTGGCTCAGTCGGTTAAGTATCCGACTTCGGCTCAGGTCATGATCTCGCAGTTTGTGAGTTCAAGCCCCACATCGGGCTCTGTGCCGACAGCTCAGAGCCTGGAGCCTCTCTTCAGATTCTGTGTCTCCCTCTCTCTCTGCTCCTTCCCCACTCGTGCTCTGTCTCTGTCTGTCAAAACTAAATAAACATTAAAAAATATTAAAAAAAAAATAAAATTTTTTTAACAAAATAAAATTTTTTTTTTCTAACTTAGAGAGAACGCAAGCTTGAGCTGGGTGGGGGGGGAAAGAATCCCAAGCAGGCTCTGCATTGTCAGTGCAAAGCTGGATGTGACGCTCAAACCCATGAACCGTTAATATCATGACCTGAGCCAGAGCCAGATGCATAACAGACTGGGCCACCCAGGTGCCCCTTAAAAATAAAATCTTAAAAAAAAAAGTTTCTCAAATGCCGAGAAGGGAGCCTCACCCTGTGCCATAGTTGAGTATCCTGCAGATTTTCCAGCTGAAGGATGGACCTAGGCTCTGAAAACTTCCTGCAAGAGAAGGGACTAGAAAAGCAGATCCTGAGAGGCGGCCAGCAAAAGCAAAAGCTCCATTTGTCCTTTGTTTCCTTTCTCAGGATTTTGAAGATTTTGTGACCCAGCTGGATGAAATCATGGCTCTGAAATCCAAGTGCATCCAGAGTCTGAGGAGCCAGCTTCAGCTCTATCTGGCCTACCACAGGCCACCCACAGCCCCTGAGAGGACAATGGTGTCTTAGAACAAGACCCAGTATAAGGTGATGGGGGCAGCTCAGGAGCCTGTACTGAAGGGGCCTTTGCCAGGTCCTACCTGCAAATACCAGACCCACTCCCTGGTCTCAGGCTACCCTTTCCCCAGCCACACATGGCCTTGACTGAGCCCCAGCTCCTCTCTCAGGGCCAAGACTGTTCCTCAGTTCCCAGCACAAGGCCATCTGTAAGGAAGGACAGAACAGCCTAAAAAACACTTAATATGCCCCTCCCTTTTCTATGGGGCTAGAAGAGAATTTGTCTTACTGACCTCTTGTCTGTGGAAACACTTGGGTCTAATAACCTTGTAAATGTTTCTGAATTTGAGGCTCAGAGGATGGGGTCAGTGGGAATGTAGAGGTCAAAGGTCACAAGCTGGGGAAGAAAACATGCTGAATTCAGGGACTTTGTTACCTAAATTGTGTTCTTCAAGACTTAGCCAAAACCTAAAACACTTGCGGCTTCTGGGCTGGATGAGCTCTGCCCCATCAGCCCTTGGAGACTGGTTTGGGGCTTTAGGTTGGGTATATGGGACAGGCGTTATAGCCCCAGTTCCCCTCCCTTCCTGCAATTCAGACATAGAAGAGAGTGCTCACATCACTGCATTATTCTTTTCCCATCTCTGCCTTATGCTGGGATGACTGGCCTATTATAAGCCCTAACAGCACCCTTGCTTCTGAGACTCCTCACCTGGCAAAGCTGAATAAGGGGAGGATCTCAGGCAAGTCCATCTCCTAGTGTTAACTTTATCTGACATCACCCTGGCTGTCCACTACCTCTCAAGGGCCTGTGTTCAGCAGTATCTTGGCACTGAGTGCTCCAGTCAGTAATCTGAGACTCTGAAGCAGAATTTTTACACATCCCTTCATGTGAGTTCTGCTTGCTGAAGCTCAAGACAAACACAAATACTAAGTGGTCCGTCACTTACTAGGGCCATCTGGGTCTGAGATTCATGTCACAGCCTTGGCCCTGACACTAATATAATGTGTGAATCTTGAGTTTCTTAGACGGAAAGGATACCTTTTTATCATTTTAAAAGGAGAGCTAAATTAAGAGGGTAGAAGCACTAACTGGCTTTCAACAAGTCTGCAGCCCTGCCACCCTTTGCCTGATCTGAGCACTAGAGGGCAGCCTCTTGCCAGCTTCCTAGCCAAAAGGCTCTGCAGTCTCTCCTCACATGATCACTAAGAAAATTACATTCCCAACCAAGAGCATAAGGTAGGGACTGTAGGATGGCACGAAGTATAAACACAGGAAATTTGAGGAAGAGATCTAGTTCTCTCTCAGCTACAATGGCACCACTGAGAACAGGTCAAACAGCCCGAATCCAGTCCTGCCTGTGGTGCACAGCACATAAATACCTGATGCTTCTCAAAGGAAAAGGTACTTCCTCACTTCTGAGTGACTACCCCACAAGGTCAGCCTGTCTCACCTTGTCCTGCAGGAAGAAATGTCCTTGTTCCAGAGACTGAGCTATATCAGGTTTGTAATAGATCCTCATCTGGGCCTGCCTCTGCAAACCAAAACCCAGGGCAGACTGCAGGGCCAGCTTCTGGGTCCCAAAGGCCTCGAGTGGGAAGAAAGTACTAAAAAGACAGAAAACGGTTAGCTCCTGTTACATGCCCAGCAAATCTAAGCAGGAATCCCTTCATCACCAACACCCCAACCCCTAAGTAAAATAGCACTTGGCAATAAATTATCACAGCAGGACATACCTTTTAGATTTTTATTAGTAGTTCTCTGAAGAATCAAAATAGTTAGCAAATTACTTTAGATTCATCAAGACTGTATATCCTTTGTATTTAGATCTTTAATGATGAACAACATAATACAAAACAAACAAAAGAGACTGATCTATGACTAGGTGTTACTCATTGTGTCGTTCTAGAGCAGGGGGCTGGAGGGAGAGGCTGTTCTCCAAGGAGAACTGAGGTGGAGTTAGTGCTGGGCTACTAAATTGCAGCCTGTTTCTCCCCCACTCGATGTGCTGGGAAGGGGCCAATGATTTCTTAATCCAACAACTGCTTCCTAGAACAGGGGGCTCTAAGATCCTGGGTAGCAGAGGACTGTGGGCCAAACCAAGCCAAAAGAAACAGGCTGGGGCAGGGAAGCATGGTAACTGCCTGGCAGAAGAACTCAGCACCCCATGGGGAAAAGGGCATTCTTTGCACCTCAGAGACATTGCAGAACCAGTGTAACACTAAGACTTTGTTAAAAGAAAAAAAAACCCTGGAAGAACCTTTCAATTGCACTCAACTTGGATCCGAGTTCAGTCCACCAGTGCATGGGAGGGAAGCATCTAGCCCTAAAGCAGCACTGAGTCTGGCCCTCCCACCCCTTCTCCCTGACCCCTTTTGGCAGCTGGGCCAGGTTTCAGCTGAGGACGTACAGACCCCAGAAGGACCAGGGAAGTCTCTGGAGGGCCAAGGTGGGAAGGACACTTCTCAAAATACAAATACATTTAATATGGAAGGAGCCAGGGCAGTTCTGGAGGCATTCACATGCCCAAATCTTCCCTACTTTCTCCCCAGCTCAGAGACTGGCAAGCACAGTCTCCACACCTGACCTTCCACCCCCAAAAGAAAATCGGGAAGTGTGTCCCTTCTCCTTCCCCACACATGGGCTCCTCAGGGCCTCCTGCGGGGGTGGTTCCATGGCAGGGCCTAGGCAGTGCCTGGTCTCAGCTGGCTCCTGCCCGAGCCATGAGGTCTTCCAAAGCATTGTCCTGGTCGTTGTTGTGTAGTAGCAGAACTTCCTTAATGTCTTTTAGTTCAAAGCCCATTTCCTTAAATTTGCTCATTAACTGAAGAAACTCCATCATCTAAGGGACAGAAGAGAAGAAAGATTGAAGAAACAGGTCTGGCCACATAGCAAGGTAGAGGAATGAACGTGTATGCAGTGGGCTGCTTGGGGGAGTCTGCATTTTTCTGTCAGTCTCATGAGTCTCTCTGCGGTTCCCCAACAAGCATAAGGGGGCTGTAGAGGAAGCCAAGGCAGACAGGTTGATGCCACAGCCCATCATCCTTCAGGAACTATGCCCAGTTCCAGTTCCTGCTGTCTCATCTGCATCCCACTAACCAAAATCCACACTCAAATCAAGGCAGGATACTGAACCTAGAAACAGCCAGAGAGCAGGCTGGGCAAAGTGACTAGCAGTCTCCCCAGTCATCCAGAAGTACGGGTTTTTGCCCAGGTCATTTCACCTTTCCATTCCCTGGGACTCTAGACTAGAGTTTTCAACCCAAAATGAAGCTTGATAGCTTCATTAAGCCTAACAACCCAAACTAGCCAAATGCTCTCTGGACACTTAAAACATCATGTATTTTGACTACCTCTGCTTGTAATCACTTTTAGGGAAAAGGGGTTCTTGGCCAGGACAAACTACTCTGTCCCTCCTTTCCAGAGGGTTCCCGTGAAGTACAAAGGTCCTACCTTTTCCTCTGAACACTGGTGCATTTCCAGAGCCTCTTCCACTAAAAGAGGGTCGAATCCCTTCTCACAGAGCTGTCCATGTGCAAAGAGATAGTCGAGAATCTTAAAGAAAAAAGTTTGAGCACTTATTGCCACTCTTGCCTATGTTATCCAAGAGTCTTGCACAAGCCAGCAAGGGTGAAGTCCGCTCCCCACCTGGCTATTAGATCCTGTATAGAACTTGATTTTGTATTATGAACTACATCTAACACAGCAGGACCTCAGTGACTATTTGCTGAACAGGCAGGCATTCCTTTCTAAACATGAGTAGCCATTTTTCAAATGAGTTCCTGTCACAGCAGACTCACATTCTCCCAGAATGTCAACTCCACAGCCTGGTCAGGATATTCTAACAAACAGCCCAAATCAGACAATGCCAAGGTTTAGGATTCCAATACCCTATTTTGGAACACCCTGGGCAGCTATGACAGGACAAACATTTCTGGGAGGGACATCAGACCGTATCTCAAGCCTAGTGTGCCCTCTCAGGAGGGGCAGAGAGCAATCCAATGGCTCCAATGCACCCAAGGCTTTCCTCCAACCTAGGTCCCAGAGCAGCCCCCAAAGCAGAAACACTGCTGCTGAGGCTGCTACTTTCTCCCAACAAAATTTGCTGAGTCCCGCCAACTCACAGGAAAAGACGCTGGGGCTCTAGGATACAAGCGACATTACTCCAGCCCCAAAGGTCTAGGACCTCTCTCCAGGCTGACCACCCACCCCAGCCAACCAACCACTCACCTGCTCAATATTCTCTCCTTTCTTCTTCATGGCTCTCAGGACACACTCATAAGAGTAGCCCATGTTGACCACGGTCTCCACACACTGCCGCTCACTGGGGGACAGTGTCTGCAGTTCAGAATAGGCCTGGGGACAGCTGGGAGTGTTGGGCACTTGTGACATTATGAAATTAGGAGGTGTGACCTGGTGGTGGAGAAACCAGAGGATCAGGCAGGAATAGAAACAAATGGGTCCCCAGAAGACATGTCCCCGAAGTAGCCAAGTCCAGGGACTTGTTTCTGGAACTTCTCACACTCCCAAACAGTTGGCCTGGAAGAAAGGGCCAGACTGCTGGCCAGACATCCTAAAGATGGGTAAGGGAGCACCAGATGAGGAAAAGCTGGGAGGACACCTGCAATTGGGCTGTCCTCTGCCTTCATCCCAGCCTGCAGAATTAGAAAATACTATAAAAGCCAAGGCCCTTCTGTGTTCAAATCCCTTGGGCTTGAATTGGAGAAGTTCTGAGGCTGCCCATGGGACTGATGGCAAGATGGCTGCTATGATTTCTTCCAGGCCTCCATTATCCCTTTCTCAGGTTGTAGTACCTCAGAGTCCTAAAAGGTCCATTCACCTCAGATACCCCTAACTCTGGGGCTAACTCCCAACAATGTCTCTATCCCTACTTCTATCCCAGGGCTGGGCAGACTGCAAGTGCGTTCCCGTGTGGCCAGTTCAGTGGCTCAGAGCTTTGAGGGCACTCCACCTTTGCCCTGCAACACAAGCTACAAGGCTTCAATTCCCTGCTACAGCTGCCAATAGTGAAGGACTATTAGCCACACCAGGCTGGGCCCTCAAGAACTGGAATGTGTACTTTAGGGCCCTGCCTCTACTGCTCTGCAGGCAGCCTGCTACATGCCCTAGGACTCTCTTAACCTCAGTCGGATTGATGGGTATATTCCCATAATTAACTCCTGCCCCTTCTGATGACTCAGGCCCAAGGAATGAAGGCTGCTCACACTCCCAGGCCACAGGACCAAACCACCGTGGGACAAGGTCACCGTTTAGCCTAGGAAAAGTATTTCAACAGAATTTTACTTCCTTTAGGGGGAAGGAGGGTGTGGTTAGGAAGCAGGGAACCCCCCACCCTATCCTATAAAGACATTCAAAGTTAATAGCTATAACCAGATACTTTCCTCAAAGTCAGCTGGGAAAAGCCAAAACTACAGGCCTTAAAGCTCACTGTTTCCTCCTATCCATCTCACCCACAGCACACCCCTGGCAGCCTAGTCATAGGGTTCAATCATTAAATTATAGGAGTCACAACAGGGCAGAGACTGGATCAAACCAGTATGGACACTTTGTAGGTCCCAAGATAAGTGCTCTTCGGGGGCAGGGCCTACCTGGGCTTGAGAACACCAACAGCCAAATAGGGTTTAGTCATACTGCTGGCACAGTACTTATCACATCATAGTATGCTAATATGAGCTCCCTACCATGACATGTATTTCTGAATACCCAGGGCCTGGCTTTAGGCTTGGCATTTACAGGGCCCTGCTCATCAGCTGTTGAATAAACAGAGGTCTATTAGGATTCTTTTTTTGAGAGCAAGTGAGAGAGGGGCAGAAGGAGAGGGAGAAAGAGAATCTTAAAAAGGCTCCACATATGGAGCCTGATGTAGGGCTCCATCCCACAACTGTGAGATCATGACCTGAGCTGAAATCAAGAGTTGGATCTTAGCCACCCAGGCATCCTGGTCTATTAGGATTTCAAAGGGGGAGTTTTATTTAACACAATAAATTGACAGTGATTCTCCCTCCCCAAAACCCACTACAGTAATAAAAAAAAAAACTATTCATCTTTAAGGTCAAAGAAAGAAGGAACAGCAGTGGACAATATATTTCAATGAAATTTTAGAACATGGAATGCTAGCAGAAGCAATGAAGTTATAAGTAAGTAGGAGAAAGGAGAGTCAGTCCACCAGCACTTCAAAACTCCTGAGGGGGGGGGGGGGTTCAGCATGTGGAAGCACCAGGTACTGTTGGGATAAGGTAAGGACACAAAGTGAGTGATTTGAGTGATAAAACCTTCCCCATCTGACCCTCATCCTCTTCGGGTGGTAGAAGGTTCAGTCTCTAGGACTAAAATATGGATACAAGGGATGGTATGTGACAAAATGAGCTATAAGAACCAAAAGGGGAATTTAAGTAAAAAGTCTACACACCAGCCTTCCCCAACCTTCCTTGACCATCAAGGAGAATTCTCAGGTGAAACTATAAGCCCTCAAAACCTTCATATATTGACATTTTGCAGAGCCCCGCAAAGTCTACCAACCTTAGAGCTACAGCAAATCTTAGTGATTGGCAAGTACACCCCAACACACGTTCCCCCCCCGTTGATTTTTTTAAGTGCCTCACTCTTAATTGTGAATAGAAAGCCAGAGACAGCAAACCAAAAGAGAGAATAAAGTAGTTGGAAATTTAAACTATGATAAAGTAAAATTTTATTTAAAAGATTGTGAGATT